ATGTTTACAGACCGTTGTGATGGCCAACAATGCCGACAACCTCTTTAAACCAATAGTCGACTCCTACGACCAAATCAAAAGGCAATGGCCAGCGCGGTCTGACCTCGAAAAGATAAGGGAAAAGATATAGCTAATCAAGAGTGATGAAACGATGGAAGAAAGAGAAAAGAAGCAGAGATTGAAAGCTGTAGGAGAGGAGATTACAAGGTTAAAGGAACAACGGGAAGAGGTAATGTTTACATTAGGTGGCCCTCTAATTTACAAATCCTTGTAATAAAAATTTTATAATTTTATATTTTTAGTTCTAAATCTAATTACTAGTTTGATTTCATTTCACTTTAATCTAATTACTAGTTTAATGTTGACTTTGTGATTTGGGTTTTGTAGGACTCAAAAAAAGTAAATGACCTTGAGGAATACTTCACTAATCCGGTATGCAGATTATGCAGATTTCTTATCATTGATATACTGTGTTACCTTTTAGCCTTTTAAAAGCATTGTATTATTTCTTGAATAAGGTGATCATTTCCCTTTTATAAATCTGATTCTAATAGCACTGAAAGATTTTAAAAAATTAGGGATGTCCAGAGTTGTCCCCAAAAGCTACAAAATAGCCAATAGCCACGTGGTCTGTTGTTTCAATAACCACAGTTTAAATCCCGATAGCCTCAATTTAAATAAAAGAAAAAAAAAACCCTACAATATCATCCCCTAAGCTTTTGGAGTACTGAATGTCTTTTGGGGACGTTAGACTTCCTCATATTAATACTCGCATTGAAAATAATACATATGGTTGAATCATTCTAAGCATTTCAAGTAATTGAGTAAGTAATTTTAAGCTTTTTAACATACTGAATATATATAATCATGCTGGCATGTTCATAGTAAAGCAGACGCTTTTTACACCAAAAGTATTAAAACAGACGCTTTTATTGTAGTGCTAGTTAAGGTCAATGACCTATCTATATGTGCATGGTATAGCTTGGATGATTGAGTATGATGACAAACTAGTACGAGGCTTCACAGAAACTAACCTCTTCGCTAGAGACATATACTACAGAACGACTTGTTGCAAACCATAGCATTATAATTAGACATAGCTATTAATTACCAATAACAGAATGTCAATATGAATTGACAAAAAATTTCAGAGAAAATGACGCATGAAGCAAGAATACCCTCAAGTGCTACAAACTTGAAAATGCATTTACTTGATTTTGCATCCACCTATCTTGCTTTTCTGTTTTCTACAATATGAGGTCTCAATGTCAGCAAGTCATCAGTCTTAGACTTGCTTGTTTACAGCTCTCCATCTCCATAATTTATTTATTTCTCTTAAATTTCAGGGGGTTAGCGTGGAGACTCTAGGAGAAAAGGTATAACAAATATTTATTGCGTTGCACAAGCTATGTAATGAATGTAGATATGTACAGTATATATATACTCTGAAATCATGACCCTTCTTCCATGTTTGTGGTTTTAGCTTTCTTCAGCATGTCCATGGTTGGATTTGGGAGAAATTGCTACTAATGGGCCTACTGCTGATCAAGCTCAAGGAGTTTTGCAAATATGCTGAAATCTTTGAAGAAAATTTGTATGCTTACTTTGCTCACTCAAAGTCGGTGAACTGGAAAAGGTTGGAAATCAGAGGCTGAGCGAAGGTTGTGATCAGAGGCGTAATGCATGTGCATGGTGGCAGGCAAAATATTTTCAATTTATCATAAGCCTATTCCTTCCAGGCATTGGTTTTCATTTTTATGGTTTATTTATACTGTTTCTTTTCAGAACTTAATGGTTTTTGTTGTTGTCAATCCGTATTTTTTTGCATGTTTTAGAACATAACTTTGAAGTATTTTGTGGGATAATTCTATGATGGTTGCCAATGTTTAGGGAAGTGAAATTTGTTTATAAATACTCCAATTAAGGTGTCCTTCAAGGCAGTTTTGACTAAATATTATTTACAAGTGTTGTTTTCACCTTTTTAGCAAAAGACTGACTGGATACTTTGTGCTATGTGTTTGTCTTAAGAAAAGAAGTTTAATTGAATAGATCTTGTGAGAGTTGAAATTCATGCCACAGGTTCAATTTACTCGTTCTTGTCTTTATATCCTCTGTTCATTCACAGACTTTTAAACCTTTGAAACACCAAAGATCCCAAAAGGCATTTGGGTGCTAGAGCCCAAAAGGGACTGGAAATGAGAAAAATGGCAGATGGTTTTTTCTTTTGTAGTTTATAATTCAGTACTTAGAACTCGCTTTAGCTCTGTGATTTCCTTTGTCATGTTGTTGTTGAATGTTGATTAAATAAAAAGCAAAAATAAATAAATAAAATAAAATAAAATTAGAACCCCAACAACAAGTAGAAGTAGTACTCCAAAAAAAACAATTGTGAAGAGAAAGACATGAATTTATGACCTTTATTTATGAATAGTGCCCTGTATCGGCCAGGAACCAGGGTTTAACTGGAAGATAATTCTGGCCCCTTAAAATGCATAAACGCCTTTTGTTCTTTATTCTTTCTTTTATTTTTATTTTTTTATTTTCATTAGTGGGGGCCCAAGAAAAGTCTGGTTTTTCCAGTCCAAGAAATTATCAGGAAAGTGGTGAAAACAGCCCAAGTTTTCTTGTTTTTAAGACAAAGCAAATTCATTTTAAGACAAAGGTTTAGCATTTTATGACTAGGCAAATTCATTTTGTAATTTCTTTTCAGAGAAAAAACTTGCATGATTTTCCTTTAATACAGATTAATTATTAGGTTATTTTAAAATTATTATTTTATAAAAGAGATTGTAGTTTTTAAAAAATTATAAATGTTAATATTCGAATTTAAAACTTAATAAAAGTTATTTTTAAAAAAATTATATGAATCAATTAACTTAAAATTTTTATTTATTTATTTTAACATTATTGCTACACTTTAATTATTTACTAATTGGCAATGAATTATTATTTTTTAACAAGTAATTTATTTCTGAATTGTCAGGAAGCGAGAGTGGATTGGATGGCTGGCTATAGGTGACCTTCACTTGTGGGATTTAATAAAAATTTAAGTAAACTTATTTACAGTGTTGATCTTAATATTTGGTTTTGATAAAGTCAATTAATATTATATTTTACATTATTTTATCATATGACTTAGTATATATATATATGTAAGTAAAATATATAAAATTAATAAATATATTTATAGATATGTTACAGTTCCCTTGTTGCTTAATAAAAATTGCATAAAACTAAATTATGAAAAATAAATAAATAAAACTAATAATTTTGATTTAGAATAAATCACTTTAAATGTATTTAATATTTATTTATATATGTTAAGAATTATCAAAACTTGGCCCCACGCATCAGTGCCGGTAAGCTTATCTACAAGACAAAGCTCGAGTTTGCAGCTTCGTTTATTTGTGAGCGAGAATGCCTCAACTTGATGGAGACCTGATCTGTCTGTATAATAAGTAAGCGATGGAGAGCTAGTTCATTTGTTTCACTCTTTTCTATTATTTTTATGTATTTTTATTATTTTATTTTATAGTATTCATGCTTTCTTTAAATTATTAAATTATTTTAAATTACCAAATCAATATTTTTTTCTTTAATATTTTTCTCAAAATAATTTTATGTAAAAACATTAACATACAGGCGGTTACGGTTAAGACAAGTTAGATATTTAGATAATAGGGTGTCAATAGGGTATAATTGAGTCAAGTAAAGTTGATATAATAAGAAGGTTGGTTTGAGTTCGATTTTTAATTCGTGATTAGATATTCGATTTAAATTCGATCGAATTTTATTTTTTTAATTCGAGTTTAATTTATAATTGAAATCAAATTGTCTAAATTTATTTAATTAAAATTTTATTAATATGTAAAAATAAATTTTTGTTAAAATATAAAAACTTTTCATACAATTTGGCCTTTTTTATTAAAACTTAAAAAATATATTTAAAAAATTAAAGTTTGAAATTATACCTTAAAAATTTGAATCTTGAAAGGAGTACTGCCTTTACAAACAAAAAAAATTTCTATTTTTTTAGTTAAAACTTAAATTTTTTTCATATATGTGAGAAAAAAATTTTAATTCAAAATCTAATATCAATTGAAATAAGAATTAATTTTTCAAAAAATTAATAAAATAATACGTCACTTTATGTGCTTCATCTTTGGGTTCAAACAATTTACATAAGCTTTTGCGACGTTAAGCGCAAGGTTTTTTTTTTTTTTTTTCAAATGTGTAAAAACTCATTGAGCTAGGGCTAAAAATAATGTGTAAACTTTCCACTGATTCAATCTAAAAAATATATATATAAATTTGGTAATTGATCAAATTATCAAAACTGCAAAGCTTTAATTGTTAAAAAAAAAAAAAGAAATGAATATAAAATATCATGGCCATCAACGCATAATTTAAACAGATAGAAATTTATGGCCCTTAAAAAGGCAAATTCATTTATAATTTCTTTTTGGGAGAAAAAAAATGCATGATTTTGCTTTAATATAGATTAATTAAATTGCACAATTATTTAAAGATTGTTACTACATTCTAATTATTTGCTAATTGGTAATAAATTATTATTTGATTACTTATATAATCTTTAATAAGAACATAGCTATCTTTTAAATTTTACATTAATTATTATAATTTTTTTATATAAACACAATAATTGGTATAATTTTAATTTTATAAATGTATATAAAATCTTTCATTCAAAGATAAAAATATTATTTTTTATGTTTATTTTATTCAAAAATAAAAAAATATTTTTTTAAATTATCAAAGATATTAGAAAAAATACGTAATTTAACCAATACAAATCCTTCCAACCAAATATAAAAATTTGAAAAACGATATCTCAAGCAAATCAAACTCTTTTTTGATATCATACTTCCTCAAATATCATTTTTTTTTTTCTTGAATTCGAAACGCGTTGCTGGCGTTTTCGTAATTAAGTCATAAAAAATACTAACAATTACTAGTGAATTGTCCTGTCCTGAAGCGGGTCTAAGTTCAATGGGGGGCCATAGGTGCACGGACCCGGGACCTTGACTTGGTGAGACTTTGTAAGTAAGCTCATCTCGAGTTTAAAATTCCGGAGCGAGACAGGATATTTGATCTCTATATATAAACAAGGCGGCGGAGAAATGAAATGGTTCATTAATTTGTTCCACTTTACTCTTCGGCAGCTTTCTCTTCTCTTCCTGCACAGACATCCGACGGTGAGTACTACTTAATAACTAATTACCAATCATCACTTGATACATACATATATATATATATATATATATCTGTCGCTTTGAGTTTGCAAAAATCCTTTAATTGTTTGTTTAATTATTACTTGAGAAATTTTTGTTTCATCGTTTGTTGAAAGAAGATATTGGTGGGTGTTGATTTGCCTCTTCTTTCTATTTCTGTTTCGGACAACAAGATCTAAGTTTTCCATCCATTAAATGAGTTTTCCTTATTATTCAAAATCTTACTATAATTTTTTTTTTTTTGGCAAATGCCAGATTCGTGCAAGATGACGAGCCAGGATAATGCTGCAGAATGGGATTGGAGCCTATCTGAAATTGTAGCGCTTCCGCAACTGTCTTCGAATGATGAATCTGAAGCACAGGATGAAGGTGAACAAACAAGTATTGTCGCCCGAGGCAGAGGCCGAAGCAGTGGAGCAAACACGAAAAGAAAACGGCAATCAGTTTCCAAAAACTTTATCAAAAGAAAAAGGAAAAAGCATAAAAAAAATGCGCCGCACCGTCGATATGGGACAAACATCAGCTTCCCAACAACCAGAACGAAAAGAAGAGAAGAGCTAAATGAACAGATCGAGAAGAAATCTGTCCGTGAAGGAGCAAAAATTCTCAACGATAGACTTGACAGATTGAAAGTCAAAGTAAATTCTATCAACAAACTCTCTTGTCTCTAGCAATTCATGGTTTATTTCTTAACTCTTGTTTTCTGGTATATTGGTAAATGAAGGACATGATAGAAGACATGGAATCTCATATATATATACAGACCGTTGTGATGGCCAACAACGCCGACAACCTCTTTAAACCAATAGTCGACTCCTACGACCAAATCAAAAGGCAATGGCCAGCGCGGTCTGACCTCGAAAAGATAAGGGGAAAAGATATAGCTAATCAAGAGTGATGAAACGATGGAAGAAAGAGAAAAGAAGCAGAGATTGAAAGCTGTAGGAGAGGAGATTACAAGGTTAAAGGAACAACGGGAAGAGGTAATGTTTACATTAGGTGGCCCTCTAATTTACAAATCCTTGTAATAAAAATTTTATAATTTTATATTTTTAGTTCTAAATCTAATTACTAGTTTGATTTCATTTCACTTTAATCTAATTACTAGTTTAATGTTGACTTTGTGATTTGGGTTTTGTAGGACTCAAAAAAGTAAATGACCTTGAGGAATACTTCACTAATCCGGTATGCAGATTATGCAGATTTCTTATCATTGATATACTGTGTTACCTTTTAGCCTTTTAAAAGCATTGTATTATTTCTTGAATAAGGTGATCATTTCCCTTTTATAAATCTGATTCTAATAGCACTGAAAGATTTTAAAAATTAGGGATGTCCAGAGTTGTCCCCAAAAGCTACAAAATAGCCAATAGCCACGTGGTCTGTTGTTTCAATAACCACAGTTTAAATCCCGATAGCCTCAATTTAAATAAAAGAAAAAAAAAACCCTACAATATCATCCCCTAAGCTTTTGGAGTACTGAATGTCTTTTGGGGACGTTAGACTTCCTCATATTAATACTCGCATTGAAAATAATACATATGGTTGAATCATTCTAAGCATTTCAAGTAATTGAGTAAGTAATTTTAAGCTTTTTAACATACTGAATATATATAATCATGCTGGCATGTTCATAGTAAAGCAGACGCTTTTTTACACCAAAAGTATTAAAACAGACGCTTTTATTGTAGTGCTAGTTAAGGTCAATGACCTATCTATATGTGCATGGTATAGCTTGGATGATTGAGTATGATGACAAACTAGTACGAGGCTTCACAGAAACTAACCTCTTCGCTAGAGACATATACTACAGAACGACTTGTTGCAAACCATAGCATTATAATTAGACATAGCTATTAATTACCAATAACAGAATGTCAATATGAATTGACAAAAAATTTCAGAGAAAATGACGCATGAAGCAAGAATACCCTCAAGTGCTACAAACTTGAAAATGCATTTACTTGATTTTGCATCCACCTATCTTGCTTTTCTGTTTTCTACAATATGAGGTCTCAATGTCAGCAAGTCATCAGTCTTAGACTTGCTTGTTTACAGCTCTCCATCTCCATAATTTATTTATTTCTCTTAAATTTCAGGGGGTTAGCGTGGAGACTCTAGGAGAAAAGGTATAACAAATATTTATTGCGTTGCACAAGCTATGTAATGAATGTAGATATGTACAGTATATATATACTCTGAAATCATGACCCTTCTTCCATGTTTGTGGTTTTAGCTTTCTTCAGCATGTCCATGGTTGGATTTGGGAGAAATTGCTACTAATGGGCCTACTGCTAATCAAGATCAAGGAAGTGTGCAAACTCGTGAACAGTTGCATTATACTGACAAGGATTTTGACGATTTAAAAAACAAAGTTTTTGCCAAGGACAACAACAAAGTGGATGTTTTAGAATTCCCAGGCTTAAAGGAGGCAATTGAAAATGCCAGGGGGAATGTTCCAGACTACCTGCAACCTATTGCTAGCAAAATCGAAAGGGATCGTGGTACACCTACTGGGTTTGAACTTTTTAACATCCAACTTCTGGTCTGCGCTGCAATCAATGAGATGGAAGATCTGGCAGTTGAGAAACTCGACTCGAGGACGTTGTTAAAGTGGGGAGCTACGCTCAACAAGGCTAAGCAATTTGATTTTCAAGTGAAATCTGCTGATAATCTCTTGGAGAAAAGTTTTTATGCTTACATTGGTTACTCAAAAAAGAGTTCGGAAATCAGAGGCTGAGTTCAAGGTTGTGATCAAAGGGTGTCTGCACATACAGCAAAATCTTTTAAGGTAAACCACCTTAGTGATGGCCTCTTTCTCTTTCCTCCCAGGACCTAAAAATGGCTATTGCTTTTCAATTTTTGATGGATGTGTGGTTTTTACTTTTACTTTTCTCTATCAGAACTTTATAGTTTTTGTTGTTGTCATTCGTATTTTTATCATCATTTAAAACATGAAGTTTGATGGTTAAAGGATTTGTTTTTGTGATTTGGATAATTATATCTTCACTTTATATTTGATGAAACGACAGTGCAGTGGAGGTTTTTAGCTCGGGATTAAGAAACTAATACAAGTTACAATTCTCTAATTAGTTTTTTATTTTTTTTATAAATATATCTTTAAAATATTTGTCACTTTACTAACTTCATTTATAGAACTTAAAAACTTCAGTAACAGTGACAATATATTTGATAATTTTTTGTGATAAAGTTTGCATGTTTCTTATTTTCAAAACTAAATTTGTTACTTTAGTATTAACTTTTAAATATGACTGAAATCTTATACGTTTGTACAAACTTAACTGTTAAACAGAAATGATTATTAAAAAATCTACAAAAATTATAAAAACACAATAAAAGTTATAAAAAAAAAATAGTAAAATGTTGCAATGATGTTAAAAAATTATAAACAAAATACTACACAGGTTTTAAAAATTACCTGAAGGTAGCTTAATTTCTCTTAAAATATTTGTTAAAAGAGAAAAACTAAATTTAAATGTTCGTAAATATTTTTTTTTATATAACCGTAAATTTGCTTATATCATTTTTCTCTCCGCTTATTTTGATGAATGAGATTTTTTTTTCTTTTTTATCTCTTATTCTTATATTATTATTTGTTATTTTAATAATTTTTTTATATAAAAAAAGCTTTAAAATAATAAAAAAAAGTTATAAGTGCTAATAGTTGAAGTCTACACCATGTAATCTATTAATGATGTAAATGTTAAAGAGTTAAACTCTAAAATATGTCACCTCTAAAGAATATAGGCATAATATAGGCATCTATTCTTATATTATTATTTATCATATTAATATTTTTTAATATAAAAAAAGCTTAAAATTAAAAAAAAAAATTATAAATGTTAAATTTGAATTCTAAATTATGTCACCAATATAAGTGTTAAGATTTGAATTTTAAACTACATTCACTCTTAAAAATATATGCATCTGACATCTCTTAGCATCTTAATAGATGCATGAGCTAATCTCATATTTTTATTATTTGAGTATTTCATTCACATGGATGTGCGGTTTATAATAAAAATTTGGGAATTTTGGTTTTATGATAATTTGTGATGGTTGCCTAAGTGAAAATTGTACAATAAATACCTCCAATTAAGGTGTCTGAGGGCAGTTTGACTTAATAAAATTTTTAAGTGTTATTTCTTCTTTTGACCGAATAATTTGTGCTATATTGCGTCTTAAGAAAAGAAGTTTAATTTTGTAAGAGTTGAAATTCCAGGAAGCAGGTTCAATTTACTCGTTATCGTCTATATATATATCCTCTGTATTCCTGACATTCTCTTCATTCTTGATGATGCAATGGATATGAATTTTATCTGTCTTTTTCTTTTTTGTTGTACTAGTGCCAAGGCTGATTTTCTGATCTCTAGGCCGCAATCCCTGTAATCTATATAGTTTCATTCTAATAGTTGATTGATGAAACAATATGTAGGCCTCAGAAAACTTTGGGTCAAATTTGAGATGGAGATGATACCGAAACAATGGCATACCTATGTCTGAGATGCAGGCCACTGTAAAACACTAATAGTATATTTAGTTCAGACTTCAGAATTTTATTATTTATAATAATCATATTTCCAAAAGTCTTCCCTGTCTTAGATCATCCACTGATTCTTCATCTTTTTTTTTGGACTAGAAATCCACTTACTTAGTTTAACCTTAGCTTTTTGGGCTTTGGGTTGTGTTTTCGTTTTCCATTCCTCAAAGTAATGCAAGAAAAATTACACCAAAATTTGGAAGAACCAAGGAAAAATGTGAATCATAGCTAGAATTTCCAAATTTGGCTGCATATTGCCATCTATGCTTGGCTTTTCTACTCTTATGTGCCAAATTCTATAGGACTATACTCAGCAAAAGAAAAACGTGACTGCAGAAACATCCTCAATTATCATTTTTTTTTTCTTTTGGGATGCCTTGCAGTGCACTTGGAATCAGTTAGATGATTTACCCGTTGCTTTATTTTCCTCTTGAGTTCTGCCTGTTAAAATGCTAGTAAAATGAGGGTAAGTTCTTCATATAATAGAAGATAAAAGCTCCCTGAAGAACCAGCAATTTGCTGAAAATGAACGAAAGCAATAATGGTGTTACCAGAGCCTGCTTAAGGTGGACATTCTCTTGTTTCAGTTGGTTCAGTTCTGCTTCTAGCTCAATGTATATGCCTGTAAAATCAAACCAACCGTGTAATGGTCAGCCTCGTAAGAGTAAAACTTATTACAAAATTCATTTCTCCAGGAATCTAGCTCTAGTATAACTACAACTTAATACTATATGCATTCACTTCAGCAAACATTGTTAGCTCCTGGCAAATTTGCAAACGATACTCAGGAAAAATAGGTGATAATTTCATGGCTTGAACATCAGTGTTAACTCAAGAATAACAAAATAATCCTTCAGGAGGCAGATATGCAATCCAATTGCCAATTTCATTGCTAGATGAGGCTGAGATTGCTCGAAAACACAAATTAGATACAGGAGAACTATCCACTGACTTAAACAAAAAGGCAAGGCATTTCTTATTGGACCAACATGTGGCCTAGAAAGTAAAGTTCATGCATAAAGTCCATCTGTTGCAGGTTTTAATCCTACTTTTCTGAATGTTTAATTAACCGAATTGCTGTAATCATATATGTTTCATTAAAACTACAGTTAGACAATAGGCCTACTCAAAGTATGGTGATCAAGATACAAGAACGCAGAGGACTGTTTCTGAGTCTAAACTTTGGCATGAATACGTTAGAACAAGCATGAACTTACTTGGCCGCTAAGAGATGGATCTATCACTGCTCCAAATATTAAATTGGCTGTTGGATCCACAAGATCATATATGACCTCAGCTGCAGCATTAACCTACAGAAAATTATCAGATGTCAAATGATGCATATGAAAAGAGAAATAAACATGAAGACATATTCTAAAACAAGCAGAACATTCAAGATAATCAAGATCTCCAGTGTATAATATTTCAGTCACAGTGTACACAATTCCTGGTTATTGGTGGGTGGGGGGGGGGGGTGTTGTTAGCTTAAGTTGCTGTGAACAATTACTAAATGTCCTAAAAAAATGATACATATAGTGTAGATAACGCATCACTTTTGCATGTTTTCATTGATAAATTAGAAATACTTGCAGCTCAAGGGCCAATCATGCATCAGGACAGAAAACAATACAACACTGTAGGGACATTCCCACAATCTTGACCTAAAGATATTTAGAAAACAATAGGTTTACAAGAACTCAAGCATTAATTCAAACATATTTCTGAAGTAATAAGTGGCTGAAGGTGCGACATTTCCTACAATTCCTACCAGGTTAGAGACAGAGGATTACCTCAAGCAAGGTTAAATCACTTCCACCAGTTATGTTCCACACAATTCCAGTAGCCCTTTCTATACCAAGATCTAACAAAGGTGATTGGATAGCTTTTAGTGCAGTATCCCTTGCCCTTGTTTTCCCTACAAACCAGAAAGAAACAATTAGAACATGATAACCAATTTGGGACCAAAACGCTTGTCAACTTTTCAATTTAAAAAACTGAATTACCAATTAATAAACCAGTTTGGCCAAAATAAATTAATAAACCAGAGCATCATGATGAGAAGAGATCACAGGCCCTATGACATGCAAAATTTTGTTTCTTTCAAGATAAAACATCAACACGTACAGCCAATAAAAGGAAAAAGGAAAGAAAATGGACAAGCTACCATCACTCCTATTTCTGTCAGAGGGAAAAACATAAAAAAGAGGTAGAAACTTCATGCATTCATGGTCAAAGCTGGGGCATATTCTCTTCTTAGCAAAAGAAAAAAAAAAGGCCAATCTGTGCCATCTTTGGCATTTCTGAAACACAGGTGAGAAACATGTAACATGATGGTGGCATCAAGATATGAACCAGGAGCTAAAGCCAGACCTCTTTTTTTTATCATTTTCGACACCTGCTCTTTCCTCCTCACTTCTTCCTTATATCCTTTTGCTCCAAAAAGAGTAGGAGAAAATGTGTATAAGATGCCTGAAATCTTGAAGCCTCAAATATAAAATGCTAAAGATCTCTTTGAATTACCAGTTGCAGTTCCTATCCCCATCAGTGAAGAACCTGCGTTTGTCATTATAGTTTGCACATCAGCAAAATCCACATTGACTAGCCCTGGAATCTGCAATCAGGAAACACACAACCAATTAGAGTGTAGAAGTATGGTCTGAACTTAGAAGGTCATAATGCTTCAACAATTGTGCTGGCCAAAACATTAGAAATATGAATGGGTAGTCATGCAGATATACTGATTTTTACAGGCTCCGAGGTTCCGTTCCAGAGCTTTGATAGCAATAAATTTAGCAGTACCAATGACCAAAGCTATCCAGCCTAAATACATACAAAGATACTACCAGCTCGTTCTGATAACATATAGACCTTAAAAAATATAGGCAATAACTAAAGAACTTCATATTGAAAGTGGGAAAAAAGAGAGAGAAAAAGCAGCAGCAAACTATTTCTTCATCCTTGCCATCTAATAAACTAGAACAATAACAAAAGAAAAACATTTTTAGCCCCAAATTTAAGGTGCACATATGTCCTATCACCAGTTGATTGTAATATATCACAAATAATTTCATTCAATCATCAACAAAATTGGAAGGACGGTCTCAATTTTCAAAGTCTCTATGAGTAGAAAGAAAGAAAATGACATTACAGTCATGTTTCTTTTGACTAAATATTTGGGTTTCAACTCAATCATGAAACTGTATAGTTAGATTAGGAGGTTTTCAATAGTTTCTGGAAGCATCCCATACTGTAATTATATCGGAGATATCACGGACACCTTGTCGAAGAATATCATCAGCCAGATTAAATGCTTCTGTTACTGGAGAAGACTGGGAAACTGCAGTCAACACTTGTCATTTGGAATAACAATTAGTGTGTCAACATTTTCTCTCAGAGCTACAATTCCTTCATGTGCTTGAACAGCCCTCCTTCTTCCCTCAAATGAAAAAGGAGTAGTGACAATACCAACAGTTAATATACCCATGGACTTTGCAACCCCTGCAATAACAGGAGCTCCACCAGTTCCAGTCCCTCCACCCATTCCGGCCTGCAATGCAAACCTGAAGTCCTAAGTAAAATGTTAAAGAAAGATACTAGAAGACAAAAGAAAGACAAGATCCCATGTGCTCATACTAGTAGTTAACTTAGCAAATATCAATCTACGAAAACACCATGAGCAACACTACCAGAACAAAAGGTTTTGCCACTAGTAATTTAAAGAACAAAAGTATCAGGGGCAAGAATGAATAATGCATTAAATTAGTTCATGAATCATCAAATACAAATCAAACTCTAGGAAACAGGGTGATCAGATATACAACAAAAGATGTTATGGATGTTTATCTTAAATGGCTATTGCCACACATCTGATCCCTAGCATGTAATAACAAGTTGAACTTGCAGTTGCAAAAATAAGAAATAAATTTTACCGCTCCTGGACACTATAGACTTTGCACATAATTCATTAACCATTCAATTGATTGAATAGGTTTTATGAAAGAAGAAAACAGGTATCAGTAGCCAGATTATTTGTGGTTATCATATGACCAATGAATATTCTGTATTCATTATAAATAAGAAGCTTGAAATATTTTCTTTGACAAATATTCTTGACTAGTCTCCTAGAGGGGTCTAGTTAATAATAATAAAGAGAAAATAAAACTAATTTTCTTGTTGCATACAATTTTGCTCAATTTATTGTGTTATTATTTTTAATATTTTTTAATAGAAATAGTAGTTGTAAACAAAAAGCATAAAAACAGAGACAGTTTTGATCCAAGACATTCATGAAATCAGATTAGTAACAGTACTAGTAATAATCCAAATTCTATCCAAATGATAAAAATTGTAGATGGATGGGAACTTACAGTAAAAAAAAAAAAAAACCATATCAGCACCATAAAGAGCCTCTTCTATTGACTTTCTTTGGCAGCATTCATGCCAATCTCTGGGTTTCCACCAGCACCAAGACCCCTAGTTAGCTCCTGACCAATTTGCAAACGATGCTCAGGAAAGACAGGTGACAATTTCATGGCTTGAACATCAGTGTTAACAATCTAGAACTCTACCCCCTTCATTGTGCTCTCTATCATGCGATTAACAGCATTTGACCCACCACCTCCAACACCAATAACTTTGATCTTAGCTTCATTATAATTACTTGAACCAGACATGTCTCCTAAGCTCTCGATGACACTTCCACTAGAACTATCCTTTCTTGGGTTGGTTATTGTAGCGTTCCCTTCACCTCTAAGCAATGAAACTTCAGGGTGCAGATTCAGAAACGGGTATTTGTTTTGATAAGGACTGACACTTTGAGAGTTGGCAGCACATCTAAAATGAGGCATGGTAGAGCTTTGGCTGGCACTTGAAAACCCACTTTTCCAATCACACAGTTTAAGGCAGCTAATTCTCCCTAAAGGATTCTCCATTAACACTCTTCCTCCAAGAACATTAAGTACCCCCATTGGTCTAGCATCTGAAGGTGTAAAACATGGCGATATAGCAGTTGCCATTTTTACCGGCAGCACTAAGAAATCAGATTCACTTAAGCTATGATACAAGCCGGAATTTTTAGAGTTCTAAATGGCTTAAATTTCAAGTTGTATTGTCAAGTTTTCTTTCAATACCTGCATAAAACAAACAATAAAATCAAAACTATATTCATAAACATTTAGAAAAACCCATTAGCTAAAGCACGATCAGTGTCCACTTGAAAGTGTCACCTTAAAACTAAAAATAAAAATAAACCTCAAAACCAAAGATAAATGTTAAAAGGCTATAACTTTCTAAATTGAAGAGCACAATGAGCTTGTACAATGTTAAGTATAACATCAAACAAGTTGCCAAAACACATTGAGAATTAAAAAAAAAAAATACAAACTACCCAAAATGCTTCAAATTTAAAGCTCACAGCAACCAGATTCACCATTCTAACAAAAAGTCCAACATTGCAGCTAAACCCAAATTAAAAAAGATAAACTACATAATGACAAAAATGGAATAAAAAAAAATGCATTGGGTCTGAAAAAAAAGGAAAAAAAAAACTGAAAGGATCAGAGGTCGAATAGAAACACCAAGTTCCCAAAAGGAGTAGAAATGGGGAAAATGGTAGATGGTTTTTTCCTTTGTAGTTCATTCAGGGCTTGAAATTGGCTTTAGCACTGTTATTTCCTTCGTGGTGTTGTTGTTGAATGTTGATTAAAATAAAAAAGTTCAAAAAATAATAATAATAAAATAAAATTAGAACCCCAACAAACAAGTAGAAGTAGTTTATTCTTTTGTTTTTTAAAATTTTCATTAGTGGGGGCCCAAAAAAAGTTGAGTCTTTCCAGTCCAAGAAATTATCAGGAAAGTGGATATAAGAGCCCAAGTTTCTTCTATCTTTTGCACCTCAATAAAAAGATCCAAGGAACCAGCAAGCCCAAGGTTTGCAAATTTTTTTGTGCGGTAATTCAAGTTCCACAGTGTCGATTTATGCCTTCGTTTTCTTGGTTTTTAGGACAAAGGTTTGGCATTTTATGACAAAGCAAATTTATTCGTAATTTCTTTTCAGAGAAAAAAACTTGCATGATTTTTCTTTAATATAGATTAATTATTCGGTTATCTTAAAAGTGTTTTTTTAAAGGGCATCTCGGTTTTATAAAAAAAATTATAATATTAAAATTAAAATTAAAAATTTAATAAATATTATTTTTTAAAATAATTGTATAAATCAATTAATTTAAATTTTAAATTAAAAATAAATTATAAATATTAAAATTCAAATTAAAACTTAATAAATATTATCTTTTAAGAATAATTATCTAAGATTCAAATAGTGATTTAATAACAGAATAGCGATCGTAAACTTACAATAGTACCATCACTTGTCACTGCTATTAAATGAAATGTTGTTGAGAAATTCTTTCACAATCAAAATAGTGTGTAACGATAGTAAAATAATTACGTAACAGGAAATAGTGATAATAACATATCGTTATTGTAAGTTATTCCATTTTTTTACTCATGAATCAACAATTCAAAAAAAAAAAAAACAAAATTTCAACATTGCAAGATAAAGTAATAAGTCTACAAAAATTAAAATAAAAATAAAAATAAAAAATAAAACTCAAAATTTTAAGTCTTTAGTATCAAAATCAATCTAAAAATAAATTAGAAAACAAATAAATTATTTATTAATCATTCAATCGGTATTTTGGCATCCAAATTCAAATCAATTTTAAGTTTTTAATTAATATTTAAAATTATATAAGAAAGAAAAAAAATTACATAATCTTTTTTTGTAAAAATTTTATAAAATAAATTCTGTTGTGAGAATTCGAGAAAGACAGATGAGATATTTTATAATTACTAAATAAATAATAGTGATGAAGATATACGAAAGAAAATAAAAAAAAAAAAAAAGAGAAGATTCTCGAAGTCCAAGCTCCAAAAGCACAAAAAAGACGAATAGAAGATAACAAGCTAGGTTCCCGGTGAGTCTACTGTGATAAGACAAATTAGGGAATATTCGGGTGGGTGGATGGGGGGTTGGGTGGGGTGGGATTGGGTAAGATGGGATAGAATGGAGGGTGGGGCCGTTTGGGTTAGGGGTGGGGATGAATTTTTTATTTAATTTTATAATTAATTTTTGAAATTTTTTTTAGATAAAATTTAATTAGAGTTTTTAAAAATTTATAATTAAAAAAAATAAGAAATTAATAATTTAATATAAGATATATAGAGATTTTAGATGAATAATTTTGATAAATTTTTTTGTATAAGTTAGATGAAAAATAATTAAAATGAAATATTATATTTTAATTTTGTTATATATTAATTTATGATTTTGTATTTGAAATTTAATAATTTTTTTGTTGTTTTGGTATTTATATTGTTGTCAATTTTTTTGATATTAGATTAATTTTTATTATTTGTGTGTAATTATTGAAAATTTTATTTATTATATAATTATTAAAAGTAATTTGTGATAAAAAATTTATATCAATTAGTATATAAAAAAGATTAAATTACTTAATAAATTTAATATTTTATGATTTATTACTCTTATTAAGATTAAAAACTAAAAATAAATAAATTTAAAATTGTTATATTTTTAAGTTTGTAATTTTATTAAATATAGATACTTGATATTTAACATATTATATTTATTAATATTTGATTTATCCAGAATTAATATTGAATATAAACTTAGTCAAGAAAAATTTTGTGAATAAACTAAATATGAATGTTTTATTATAATTTAAAAAAAATTATAAATAATTTTTTAAAAAAATAAAAAACATATAATATCATAAATTATTTTTAAAATCATTAAATAAATATTTTTATAATTATAATTATTATTATTATATTTTATAATAAATTATAAAAAAAATTTATTATCTTGATAATTTCAATGACCGTAACGATGTCTGTTACATTAAAAAATACGATAAAAATGATGAAAATATAACCATAGCTGCTATTTAAATATCTGAGCATAACTACATCGGTTGGGACACTATGCAGAAAAACCATTTAAGCTTTTGGATAGCGTGATCATCCTTTCTTCTTCGGGAACTCAGGCATATCCACTGAAACCGATTGATTCCAAGACCAATAAAAGGAAAAGCAACGAAAATGGACAAGATACCATCACTTCTATTTCTGTCAGAGGGAAAACATAAAAAAGAGGTAGAAACTTCATGCATTCATGGTCAAAGCTGTGGGACATTCTCTTCTTAGAAAAAAGAAAAAGAAGGCCAATTGGTGCCATCTTTAGCATTTCTGAAACACAGGTGAGAAGCATGAAACATGATGGTGGGCCAGGTTTCGCATCCAGATATGAACCAGAAGTTAAAGCCAAACCTCTTAAAATTTTTTCATATATGTGAGAAAAAATTTTAATTCAAAATCTAATATCAATTGAAAAGAGAATTAATGTTTTTTTTAAAAAACTTAATAAAGTAATACGTCATTTTATGTGCTTCATCTTTGTGTTCAAACCATTTACATAGGCTTTTGCGACGTCGAGTGTAAGTATTTTTTATATGTGTAAAAACTCATTTAGCTAGGGCTAAAACAATATGTAAACTTTCCATTGATTCAATCCAAAAAAATCTATATAAATTTGGTAATTGATCAAATTATCAAAATCGCAAGGCTTTAATCGTTAAAAAAAAAGAGAAATGAATGAGGAATAAAAAAAATCTTGGGGGTCAAAGCATGATTTAAACAGATAGCAAATTTAAAGTTCTAAATAGCTTAAATTTCAAGCTATGATATATAAATTTTTGACCCCTTAAAATGCTTAAACACCTTTTGTACTTTACTTTCTTTTTTTTTTTTTTTAAATTTTCATTGCTGTGGGTCCAAGAAACTCGAGTTTTTCCGGTCCAAGAAATGATCAGGACAGCTCAGTGAGGTGGTGATAACAGCCCAAGTTTTTATCTTTCGCACGTCAGAAAAAAGATCCAAGGATCTAACAGCACACACCGAGCTGAAGGTTTGCAACATTTTGTGTGGTAATTCAAGTTCCACTATGTTGATTTATGCCTTCGTTTTCTTGTTTTTAAGACAAAGCAAATTCATTTTAAGACAAAAGGTTTGGCATTTTATGACAAATCAAATTCATTTGTAATTTCCTTTCGGAGAAAAAAACTTGCAAGATTTTCCTTTAATATATCTTAATTATTCAGTTATTTTAAATTTGTTTTTTTATAAAGGACATCACGGTTTTAAAAAAAATAAATTGTAAATATTAAATTTAAAATTTAAAAACTTAATAGATATATTTTTTAAGAATTATTGTATGAATTAATTAATTTAAATTTTAAATTAAAAAAATAAATTATAAAATATTGAGATTCAAATTTAAAACTTAATAAATATTATATTTTAAAAATAATTACATAAATTAATTATTTTGCGTTCAATTATTTTAACATTGTTACAACATTTCAATTATTTGAAAATTGTTAATGAATTATGAATTTTTTTTACAAGTAATCTATTTCTGAATTATCCCGAAGCGCGAGTGGGTTGAATGGCGGGCCACGGGTGTCCTCCACTTGGTGGAATTTAATAAAATTTTTAAGTAGACTCACCTTTAAGATAAAGCTCGGTATACAACTTCGTCTATTTGGGACCCAGAAGACCTTAGATCGCGACCTGAGCTACACATAACAAAAAGTCCAACCTTGCAGCTAAAAAATGCATAACCAGAAATTTAAAATGGCATCTGGGTCTTAAAGATAAAAGACGAAAAGAAATACCTGAAAGAGATGCGGTCCCAAAGAAAACAGAAACGGCCAAAAAGTTCCCAATAAAGCATTTGGGTGCTAAAGCCCCAAAAAGGAGTGGAAATGGGAGAGGGTTTTTTGTTTTGTAGTTTATATTTCAGGGCTTGAAAATCTTTTCGGCTTTAGCTCCGTAATTCAATCTATCCAAAGATAAATTTTACTTGATGTAATTAATTTAGTTGGTTCTTTTGCTTTAAATTTTTATAAGAGTTTTAAAATTTATGAAATTTAATTGTCTTTGAAATTTTTCGGATTTTCTTCAAAAGCTTTTGGAGTATAAAAAATTTAGGTTAAAAGGTATAATTTAATTAAAGGTAATTAAATTATTTTATTTAATGACTGATGTAAAAAATTTAAACGTAAAATCTAACATTTTTTTTTGTCTTTTACATAATGTATCCAAAAATTATGAGATATAATATTTAATTTATTATTATATTTAAAGATATTTTTTAACTAAAAAATTTAAGGTGTAAAAATAAATTTTTGGAATAAATTTAGAATCATCTTTATTGTGATGGGAAAATACATGAATTTACATATTTATTTATCAATAGTCTTGATTATAAGGTAGATTTGATAATTTATAAATTTGTGTTATATTCATTTTGTATAAATTTTATATAAAATATAAAATTTTTATGTCATAAAATATCAAATCTAGATACATTTTTATATTTTTATTAAATTTATTACAATTTTTATTAAAATTTTAAACTTTATCTTTATCATAATTTTTATATTATTTTGTATAATATCATTGTAGTATTTTTATAGTTTTTTATTATTTTATTTTATATTATTCATGTTTTCTTTTAAATTATTAAATTATTTGAAATTAACAAAAAAAAAATTCTCTAGTCTTTTCCCTAGTAATAATTTTAACGAAAATATTAACCATTCGGTGGGTGAGATTAAGGCGAGTTAGATAATTAGATAATGGGGTGTGGAATTGAAACTCTTCTCGCCGACTTGAGGGACGCACCTTCTCCATTCGTATGCGCTCTCTCTCTTCTTTATTTTCTTTTTTATTTTTAATTTTTTTTAGTTATTATTTGGTTTAGAAGTATCCATAAATTTTTCTCCAAATCTTGACGATGGGTTATTTATTTTTATTTGCAAATAAGGAGCTGCACATTAAATGCTTTGACTTTTGGCCACGGTTTTGGCTATGGTCCCCAAATAAATTTAGTTTTGCAATTAATGTCATTCTTCCTTGTACTATTTTAAATGTATGATAGTATTTTGTTTTTTGCATTTCGCGAGAAGAGCTTCGTCTTATGATTAGAAAAAAATGAAAAAAAATGCAACTACGAAAAATTATGATTATTTAAGATGTTTTTTGTATAAAAATATCTTAAATAATTATTTTATAAATAAATTAAATGATATTTTTAAATTTTTTCATAATATATAAAAAATAAAAGGATCATATCATTTTATAAAAAAATAAAAAGATCATTTAAGGTATTTTTTATATAAAAATATCTTAAATAAAATATCAAATCTAGATATATTTTTATTTTTTATTAAATTTATTACAATCTTTATTAAAATTTTAAATTTTATTTTTTTCATTTTTTTATATTATTTTTATATAATATTATTGTAGTATTTTTATATCTTTTTATTATTTTATTTTATATTATTCATGCTTTCTTTTAAATTATTAAATTATTTTAAATTAACAAAAAAAATCTTCTCTAATCTTTTCCCTAGTAATAATTTTAGCGAAAACATTAACCATTAGGCGGGTGAGGTTAACGCGAGTTAGATAATTATATAATGAATCGAGGACTTGAAACTCTTCTCGGTCACTAGCTTTAAAAAACCGCCGACAAAATACAGTTGGGAGTGAGGCGCGAGCTTTCTATGCTTCATTTTACTATTACAAGTTTTTTTTTTTATTATTAAAATTAAAAAATGATAATTAAAAGTTTAAAATTATATCTTAAAATTTTGAATTTAAATCTTGAAACGAATGCAGTGTCTTTGCAATAAAGAGAAAAATAATTTCTATTTTTTAGTAAAATTAAGCTTATATATGAGAAAAAAAAAGCTTAATTCAAAACCTAATATCCATTTAAAATATAATTTTTTGGTCAAAAACTTAATAAAGTAGTACGTCATTTTATCAGCTTCTTATTTGGGTTTAAACCATCGACTCTTTCAAGATTTTTTTAGATATGTAAAAATTCATTCAGCTTGGGTTAAAAAATGTCTGAATTTAATCATTAATTAGATTATCAAAATCTCAAAGCTTTAAATTTTTTTTTTTAATAAAGGGATAGGAGAAGGATTTGAGTTTTAACTTAATGTATTTTCTTAAGAAAAAAATGAACGAAGAATAAAAATAATCGTTAAGTTCGAAACATAATTTAAATATATATGAATTATTTTCCTATCCGTGGAAAGTAAAGCTTCCTCACGCGAGTTTTTTCACATGCCCTCGCTATAAGTAGGAAGGCCCTCGCTGCTACCTTAACATCAACACTCCCTCAATTCTCAACCTTCCGTCTCAGGCCTTTTCTCTGTCACAGTCCCTCAATTCTCACTCTGTTCTGAAACATGGGAAGAAAACGGCAATCATCAGGTTCCCAACAACCAGAACCAAAAAGAAAAGACCTTATCAAGACGAAATCTGTCCGGCAAGGAAAAAAATTCTCAAAGATAGAGTTGACAGACGGATAAAGAAGGTAAGTCTATTAATGAAACCTCTCTGTCTCTAGTAATTCATTTTAATTCACCATGTTTTATTTCTTAACTACGTTTTATGTATATTTAAAATGCAGGACAATATGGCAGACATGGTATCTTTTGCATGTTTAATGATCTGTGCGATGGCCAACAAAATCTTTTTCCCCTATCCACTATTAGTCGCCTTCCACAAACAAATCAAAAGGAAATGGCCAGTGCGTTCTGACGTCCAAAGCATAAGGGGAAAGATAGGGGCAATCAAGGATGCTGACAGGATGGAAGAAACACAAAATATGAGGAAATTGATAAAAATAGAAGAGGACCTTGGAAAGTTGAATGAACAACGGCTAGGGGTCAACCAAAACAAAAGGCAATGCTCAAAGGGGTTTGACCTAATGGAAAGGATAAAGGAAATCCAGGACGTTGCACCTATGGAGGTACCAGATAAGATGCAGACATTTATAGATATAGGAGAGGAGATTAGAAGGTTAGGTGAACCAGGGCTAGAGGTATACCGAATCAAAAGGCAATTCCCAGAGCGGTTGGTCCTTGAAAACTTGGAGGAAGACATGGAAGAAATGCAGGACACTACTGAAGCACGGAGGGAAGAAACAGAGGAGAAAGAAAAGAGATTCGAAGATGTGAGAAAGGAGATGCAAAGGTTACGCCGCCAATTAGAGGAGATGGAAAAGAAATTAGAAGATACGAGAAAGGAGAATCAAAGGTTGTTACACCGCCCATTAGAGGAGATGAAAAAGAAATTAGAAGATATGAGAAAGGAGAATCAAAGGTTAAAGAAGAGTTAGGCCACCGATCAGAGGAGATGGAAAAGACATTACAAGATTTGAGAAAGGAGAATCAAATGTTAAAAGCAGAGCGGCGAAAGGTAATGTTTATATAAGGCGGCTCTCTCATTTACAAATCCTTATTAGGCGGCCCTCTCATTTACAAATCCTTGTAGTAAAAGTTTTACAATTTACTAGTAACATTTTTTTTTTTTTAATTTCTAAACCTAATTACTAGTTTGATATCTTTTCACTTTAATCAAATTACTAGTTTAATGTTCTAAATCTCTAATCCTGACTTAGTTCTACTTGGGATTTTCAGGGTTTTCATGATTCGACAGAAGTAAACCGGTTAATAGAAACCTTATTCCTGAGGTATGTGGATTTCTTATCATCGATATATAGTCTTACCTTTTAACCTTTAAAAAACATAGTATTATTTCTTGAATAAGATGATCATTTCTCATTTACGAATCTGATTCTGATAGCACCGCAAGATTTTAAAAAATTAGGGACGTCCAGTGTTGTCCCCAAAAGCTACAAAATCGTCCCTACTACTTTTGGGGAGGGTGGTGGTCATCCCACTGAGCATTCTACAAAAGTAATATTGGAGACAATTGCACACCGATCGTCCTCTGCATTAATTAAGGATGATTTTCGTCCCCAAACGTTTAGAGATAGTTATCCTGATATCATCCCGAAACTCATAAGAGAATACTGAATCACTTTGAGGCCGTTAGTCTTCCCTGTATTAATACTCTTTAACGATGATTTTACCAGCCTTTGGCATCGAAAATAATACATTATGGTTAGAATCTTTCTAAGCATTTCAAGTAATTCAGTAATTTTAAGCTTTTCCAGTGATTGAGTAAGTAATTTTAAGCTTGTTAACATAGCTGGCATATTCCTGGTAAGACAGACGCTTTTGATATACATAGAGCTAGTTTAAGGTCGATCACTTATCTATTTGTGCAAGGTATAATAATAGTAAAGCTTGGACAGTTGAGCATGATGACAAACCAGTATGAGGCTTCGCAGAACTAACCTCTTTGCTAGAGACATATGGTACAGAAGCACTTGGTGCAAACCGTCTTTCATATAGCTATTAATCACCACAAAAATAGCTGAAGCACGAATATCCTCAAGTGTTACAAACTTGAAAAAGCATCTTACTTGATTAATTTGGCATGCATCCTTCTCTCTTGCCTGTCTGTTTTATGCAATATCAGGTCTCAATGTCTCAAGTCATCAGTCTTAGACTTGTGCTTGTTTACGGCTCTCCATCTCAATCATTTATCTATTTCTCTTAAATTTCAGGTGGGTAACGTCGAGACTTCAAGAGCGAAGGTATGATATATATTTATTGCATTGCACAAGCTATGACTGCAGATATGTATAGACTATGAAATCATGACTTTCTTTCTCTGTTTGTTGTTTTAGCCTTCTTCAGCATTTCAAGACAATGCAACTAATGGGCCTACTGCTGATCAAGCTCAAGGAAGTTTGCAAACTTGTGAAGAGTTGCAGTATAGTTTCAAGGATTTTGATGAATTTAAAAACAAAGTTTTTGCCAAGGACAACAACAAAGTGAATGTTTTACAATTCCCAAACTTAGAAGAGGCAATAAAAATTGCCAGCACGATCGTTCCAGACTACCTGCAACATATTGCTGGCAAAATCCAAATTGATCGTGGTACATGTACTGAGTTTGAACTCATTAATATCCAGCTTCTGGTCTGCGCTGCAATCAAAGAGATGGAAGATCTGCCACTTCAGCAACTCAACTTGAGTACGTTTTTAAAGTGGGGAGCTACGTTCAACAGGGCGAAGGAACTTGGTTTTCAAGTGAAATTTGCTGATACTCTCTTGAAAAACAACTTGGGTATTTTCTTTGGTTATCAGAGGCCGAGCTAAAGGTTGTGTTCAAAGGGTACATGGATGTCTATCGTGCAGCAAATGTTTTCAATTTGTGATAGCCTCTTCCCTTCGAGTTAATTGGTTTTCAATTTGTAGTTTTTTTTTTTTCTCTATCAGAACTTACTGGTTTTGGTCGTTGTCTTCTGTGTTTTTGTTATCTTTTAGAACGTGAACTTTGTAGTTTTGTGATAATCTATGATGGTTGCCAAAGTCTAGTAGTGAAAATTGCGTGATAAATATCTCCAATTAAGGTGTCTTCAAAGGCAGTTTGACTAAATAAATTTTTGCAAGTGTTATTTCACCTTTTTCCCAAAAGAAACTGCTTAACCCTCCAACTGACTCGATACTTTGTGCTCTATTGTGTCTTAAGAAGTTCAATTGAATAGATCGTGTGGGAGTTGAAATTCCATGCCACAGGTTCAATTTACTCGTTCTTGTCTATATATCCTCTTTATTCCTGGCATTCTCTTCATTCACAAATCTTTGAAGCTGTCTATTGCTGAGTATTCATTGATGGTCTGCTTTCCCCATCTTCTCTTGGAATTAAATTTAGACCAGAACTGGTAATTGCCTATTTCAAAACATCAATATATGAAATTTTATCTCCAAATTGATGATGAAAATGGTAATCGATTCTTTTTATCTTCATATTGCTTTCAATTCAGTAATTTTCCTTTAAAATTTTCAAAAATCATTCATAACTTTAGTACTGCTATATTTCTTGATATGGCAATGGTTATGAATAATCCTTTTTATCTGTCTATTTTGGTTGTACCAAGTGCCTTATTTTCTGATCTTCAGGTTGTTCAATTCTGAAATCTCTGTAATCTATATAGTTTCATTCTCAAAAATCTGAGTATGGAAATCAACTTTATTGATGAAAATATAGCCCTCAGAAAACTTTGGCCCAAATTTGAGAATGGGGATGATACCAAAACAATGACATACCTATGTCTGGCATGCAGACATCTGTAAAACTCTAAAGTATATTTAGTTCAGGCTTCAAATTTTGATTATTTATAAAAATCATATCTCCAAAAGTCCTCCCTATCTTAGATCATCCATTGATTCTTCATCCTTTTTGGTTTTTTGGAGTAGAAATCCACTGATTGAATTTGGTCAGCTTCCATCACCAATGCTTGAAAATTCCATGGATTCTACATTTTGTAGCATAAGCGATGCAACTGATCTCAGATTATCAGGAAAAAAAAAAAAAGGACAAATAGGAAACAGCTCAAATAATTACCTTGTTCATCTTCTGTTTGCTTCACCGTAGAAAACACAGATTTCTTCTCATCATTCTTAGTTTCTCTTTAGCTTTTAGGGCTTTGGGTTGTGCTTTCGTTTTCCATTCCTCAAAGTACTGCAAGAAAAATTACACCAAAATTTGGAGGAACAAAGCGAAAAATGAATCATACATAGAATTTCCAAATTTGGCTGCATATTGCCATTAATGCTTGGTTTTTCTACTCTTATGTGCCAAATACTATAGGACTATACTCAGCAAAAGAAAAACATGACTGCAGAAACATCCTTAATTGTCATTTTTTTTGGGTGCCTTGCAGAGCACTTGGAATCAGTTAGATGATTTACCTGTTGCTCTACTTTCCTCTTGAGTTCTGCCTGTTAAAATGCAAGTAAAATGAGGGTAAGTTCTTCATATAATAGAAGATAAAAGCTACCCGAAGCCCCAGTAATTTGCTGAAAATGAACAAAAGCAACAACGGTATTACCAGAGCCTGCTTAAGGTGGGCATTCCCTTGTTTCAGTTGGTTCAATTCTGCTTCTAGCTCAACTGTATATGCCTGTAAAATCAAACCAACCTTGTGATGGTCGGCCTAGTAAGAGTACAACATATTACAAATTCAGTTGTCCAAGAATGTAGCTGTAGTATAGCCGCAACTTAATACTATATGCATTCACTTTAGCGAACAGTAAAGCTATCGGTTCAATATACATTAGTAGAAGTACCTGTTTTGTAGCTCTAGACCTTGCAGCTGACTCCTTATTCTTAATCATCCTTCGTTGCCTTCTCTCAACTACCTTCTCTATTGGACCATCAATGATCCTTTTCCTTCCCCTTAATCCACCCATCTCCATCCCAAATTGAGTAGCTGCATTATCAACTTGATTGGTACACATCCGTTCTGATGATACTGGACTTATAGGTGACACCACTCCTAATGCCTGTCCAGGTCCATAGGCACCGGCAGCAGATACCTCCCCGTTGTAACAAACTGCCATCAGTGGCAGAGCAGCCGGCTGGTAGCCGCCACCCTTCTTCCTATCATTAACATACCCTGATGAATCACCAATAACTCCACCTGGAGGCATTGTCTGGTATGCACTCCCTCCAAAGCCATCACTGCTACCCATTCCTATAATTGGCCTGGAAATAAAACCTGGATCAACCGCAGGGTTATTGCTACTCTGATACAACTCGGATTGTGGCTGATGGAGCGGAGGCAGTACTGCTGGTTGCATGCATTGTTCCCTTACTACCCCTGCCTTAATCAAGAAATCCTCCAAGGTCATCTTCCCAAAAGTTGGTCACTGGGTGGCGTTCTCAGCATTCTGTACATGGCTACTGTTATTACTCTGTCGTTTTCCTTGCTGCCCTCTATGTATCTCAGACCAAACTTCATCAGCAGTCCTCCTACACAGCGGTGCAGGGAGTGTAAGCGAGCCTTGCCTTGGCAGGCTAGGCTGCTTAGCTATGCCAGTACTGCTTGCTGTTTCATTCAAAGACAAATGAACATGGCTGCTACCTTTGTACAGTTGTTCTGATGATGATTGTTATTGTTGAAGTTGATAGCTTGGTTTTTCTTCAGCGTTCCAGATGCTGGTAAGGAACTCGTCCATGTTCATTGACCCGAAGTTCTTCCCACTCTCACATAGCGTGTGCTCGAACTCATCAAAAGTGAGAGAATAGATCAAGGATTGTGTTCCAAGTGCCGAGAAAGGGTGGTTCTTCTGCTGCTGATCCACCACCTGCAACGATGAGTCAACCTCTCCAATCTCAGACTCTGTAACTCCCTTTTTTGTGATGAAAAAGCCGCCAAGCTAGCCAATTCCAATCGACCTGTTTGTGAACAAACAGAAGGAAAGTGAATGGAGTATTAAGTTTAGAAAAGGACACTAATATTACAAAGAAAGAGAAGAGACCATGAAAATCTTGCTTTAAACATTTTCCACTAAACATACCACTCAAAAATGAGATGATAATTGATAGATAAGCATTGCAGCAGATTACTACAGTAGGGTCCAAACCTGATTCTTGAAAATGAAGCCTAACTGTAAGCAAGGAGGAAGAAAACAAATCGATGTAACAAAATTTGGTTAAAAAAAAAAGAAAAATTCTACAAAGGGCACCTTAGATTTCCCTTAGAACAGTCTAAATATAGTAAATCAAAGAACATGGGCTGTAAGTTTCCAAAGCCAAACGTCCCATCAATTCAACCGATCAAAACGGTATCTAGAAAAATGATGATGAAAAGTTATGGTAAAAGATTAAAAGGGTCTCAGTATCTATATCTTGTTTCCTCTCCACCATCATCCACAAATTAAAATAAAATATACAGGATATAATGGTAGAAGATTAGAAGGGTGCCTTAAATTTCCAATTACTTCCATAGTTGAAGAATTCATATACTACCATTTTCCTTTTGCTAAGTCTTAATTACTCTTCATTAGTTAATGTTCAAGTCTCCAACAAAGCCTAAAGTTAAAGGGTACTTCCTAATTAACGGATAATCTTAATTTTTTTCATTATTCTAATCACTCTTTTTCTAACAAAAATGTTAGTAATATATAATATATTCAAAACTTTAGATTGAGTTAAAATGAGATTTAATCCAAATGATTTATTTATTTTTCTTAAAAATAAAATTTCCCTAAGTTAAAGATTGATCTCAAAACTTATAATTTCTCTTTTCTAATCTCTTTTTATTCACTTATAATACGACCTCTCTCATGAAAAAAAATTCTTAATTGAATAAGCTAGACTTGATACTAACATATTTAGCTGATCAGATTGTCTTAAAGATTAAAAAAACTGACATGATCACTCAGAGCCACATGATGAATAGAAAATATATGTATACCACGATGGAGGATCATATATATATATATATATATATACTGTATTTGTTTGTTATTAGATTAATAGTGTCTTGGTTGTTAGATTAGTTTAATGTAACACTAAACCTTAATAGCTACAAAACGCATGCATGGGCCATAGAACAAATCAGCTTCAAGAGCATGCATCCGAGATTGATTCTGGTCTAAAGCTTTAATCATTAAACATCAAAGAGCAAGACAGGACAAAAAGAAAGAAAGCAACCCACATTTCACCTTGAATTGTCTAAGATCCTTGGACCATCAAAAAGACTGAAAAGCCATATGAATATGGCATACCTGATTCCAACAAAGGCAGGAGATAATTCAGCCGAAAAATTGGTTCGTAGAAGTTTTAAAAATACAGGGTTTAGCTTGTCAAGCTCTATCAAAGCAACATTAGAAAATGGGAGTGATTGGTTGAAGAAAATGTTTGGAGAGCAGGGGCATATACAAACATGTGGAAGTGTGGGCAGAGCAAAAGTGTATAAGTAGCGGGGGACTGGGTCCAAAACCAGGATATAAAGTCAATTCTAATCAACCAACCCTGAAGTTGAGAATAAGAAATGGGAGTCAGCAGTCCCAAAATGGCATCGGGGCTTGCCCTGCTTGACACGTTTCAGCTCTTTGGCGTTCTCTGACTTGCTTTGCTGTTCTTTGCTCAACGCGTGTGTTGCTGCTCTTGGCTCAGGAAGTCATCATTCGTTGACGGAAACCCCAGTAACATGCAAGGTAAGCTTCCACTGGCCCACAGCTTGGCTGGTCATCGGAGGTAATAAAAATAAAATATTTAAAACCCCTTAGCAAAATTAAAAGATAGAAATAATTTAATAATTATTTAAATATTTAATATTTTATTATAATTAAGCAAGATTTTAATTTTTTATTTCAACTTAATTAAATTTTTAAATGAATAAAATTAATTACATAATAAATTTAATCAATTGAATTTTTTAAAAAATCTTTAAAATATAAAAACAAAGAAAATTAACAAATTATTTTATTTAATTTTCATATATATATTAATTATATTATTAATAAAGTTTTATTTGTTTTATTGATGTCTCATTGATTTTATTTTAATTGATAAAAAAATTAATGATACTAATATTTTATTTAAATAAAAATTTAATTAGATGTAAATAAATATTGAAAGAGTTAATTGATTATAATAAAAAAATAAAGAATTAGAATTTTTTTAATTATAATTTAGGGATTATTATATCTTTACAAAAAAATTTATAACTTGTGTGCCGTAACGGTGGAGAGTCGCTGATCACAAGTTCGTATCGGGCCACCTAGTTTAACATATCACAATGTAGAGCCCAATGAATAAATATAGGCCCAATTGGTCCATTAAGGGCCAACAACCAAGCAAAAACCATGCATGCTATTTGCTTCACAAATTGATTTTCTTTCTCATGTTCTTGGAATGATAACAAAAATTTACTTAACCTCGGAATGAAATGACTGAAAGGATAGATTTTACTGAACCGTCTTTTTTTTTATGGCAGCCTTTTCTTCTGGCCTTTGCAAATAGAGAAATTCCAAAGAACATAATTCTGCTATAATTTCTTTATCATTGTTCAGCCCTTTTCTTGTATCATGAATATGGCCTTCACAAAAACATAAATGTAAAACTGGGTTATAAGTATAATCCAGGTGCGAAAGAAAAGGAGAAAAAATCATTGATGCAAAGCTTCACAATCTTCTTAGTTTCATTCTTCTTCTTTATAATTGCAAAAGATTTGATTCTTCAAAGAGTTGATGATCTCATACTTATATCCTCGTTTTAGTGGAATTTGGGTCTTCTAATGGCAGATTATAACAGAAAATAATTTGCTAGGCAGCATATCAACAGGAAATCCTTGAGTCTTCTATTAAGTCGAGGCGGGAACGCCCTTTGCCACCAATCTCCTCTCCCACAATGACTGCTAAATAAGAGATAAAAGTTGCTTTACTTTGGCATTTTAATCTCTTGCCATGAAAGCTTTATTTGTATGTGGGATGAGAAGCTGGCCACATGAGAATCTCTTTTGAAATGCAATGAACAACGACCTTGCACCTTCCAAGGAGGATGCATCTCCTTTGAAAATGTGTAAACAAATGAAAGAAATTTCTAAATGAAACATGACTTGCTAGAGGCTACGGACTGCTCTTTCCCTCTCATTTACCAAATGTTTTGATGTACTACTGTCTAAAGCCAAAGCAAAGATGAGTTTATGCCAGCTAGAAACCAAGATTTGAATGAGAAGATTTCTTCAGGATTGCCTTAAAAAATTGCGGATTCTCAGAAATATATTTGGTAGTATTTGAAAGATACAAGTTTCCCATTTCATCCATATTCATAGGTTATAACTTGTAATCATTTTTTCACTTTATTCCCTTTCCCTTCATAGAAATTTCGATTCTGTATAAACTATCCTTCCTTTTTCATCCACAGATAATATTGGCAAAGCTTGTAATGCTATTATAATATATTTGAGATCAACCAGCAAAAGAAGGAAAATGTATTTGACAGACAAATGTGCATGTGTCACAGACCGCATGCACCTACCATCGGCAAACATGCTTGACATCATGATATTTTAGAAATTGCAGTACTCGAACAACCCCCGTCACCCCCCCTGTATCTTTTAGAACTAAATGAATACAGCCTTTGCATTTCCCCTGAAAAAGTTGTCGATTCAACCCTTAAAAAGTTGCAGGCATCAATTCTGGTTATAACTTATAATGGGGGATACTTGGACAAGGGACAAAACTATAAAGTAAGACTACTTCTCTCCGACCAATAGTGCCTTCACCATATTATCGGACATCCCATCAGCATATGGAAACAAATGTCCAGCACCAGGTAGTTCATGGTAATGAATCCATGGGAGTTGTTGGGCAATATAGCGTTGAAGGGTAACAGGCACAAGCTTATCCTCATTTCCTTGCCACAGGTGCACAGAGCCCTCATTATTAGGAAATGGATTGTTCAGATCCATGGGAGAGAATTCCCATCTTCCAAATCCAATTATCAGGTCACGGTGCAGGGACTCATATTCACCTTGCTGTCTTATTAGTGCCGACAGTACCTGAGGGGAGGAGGGAGAATATTATGGTGGCAACAATAGCAAAGAATAAAGTTCAAAAATCAATTATAAAAAAATTCTGAGTATGAAAAAAAAAAAAAAAAAAAAGAGAGAATCAATTGACAGTGCAGCAAATCAACCTACCATATGAAGTGAATTATCAAGGAACTTTTTGGCAGAGAGAAATACATACCGTATGATTCCTAATAGAGGCTATATTCGGCATGAGTTTTTTGTCCTCAATGGAAAGAATATCAGTACTGTGAGCAATAGGGCTAAAACTAGGGAACCATTTTTGAGTGTTCCACCAGTAGGTAAGCCAGGGAGCATAGTGAGACACTCGAAGTGTCCATTGGTCTTGTGGCAACTGTTGCTGATAAGCTTCTTTAGATAAGTTTGCAGGAAAACTGGACCACCAGTAGTTAACAGCTGGAGCTAACAATGTTGCCCCCGCTAACCTGTTAAGAGTTGCAAATATCCCTCATATGAGAGAAAAGATGTGGAAAAACAAGCAGAACACCCAACAGCAGAACAAACATCATATGTAATCTCTTTCTCTCTTGCATAAGTTGCATTCAAGTAGTTTGGCAAAAAGTACCTGTGAGGGATGTACTTCAGGCAACTCCAAATCACCTGCCCTCCCATAGAAAATCCAATTACATAAAACATGGATCCTAGTCCCAATTGATCAGCAAGTTCTTCTATATCCAAAGCCATACTCTTTACTGTTCGTTTTGGATTAGGGTCACTTTCTCCATAACCTGGTCTGTCAAAAGACACAATGTAGACCCCTAAAGCTTCAACAGTTTCCTGGTAGAAACAACAACCAAGTCAAATGACACTTACTTCAACATGTTATTGCTGAAAGCTCAGATGACCACCCAAAATAATATAGAAAAATGAACAAACAAAAAAGCACCGGTGACAGGGCATCAGCAACAACAGCATCAAGCCTGCAAGAATCAAAGCCATGGACAAAGACAATTTTATACGTTGCTGCATCTCGTGGAACACCATGCTCTTTGTAGGCCAAATGCCTTCCATCCTTCAGCTTAATTCTTGTGGCCGTGACAGGTGGACCATCTGGAGAGCCACATTTCTTGGGTAGAGGCGGCTGAATGGCCTGATAAGCACATGCCAAAATGCCCACAGATAAGAGCAATAATATCTTCGTGGATATGCCTGCAGCTTTTTTGAGTTATAATTCAAACAGCCTAAAAATTGGAGAAATCAATTTGAAAAAATGGCAATGACAAGACATCACCTATGAAACAAGACACCGCACATACATACTTTTAATTAGCCACCTTGGAATTGACAGCCGAGCTACTGGATATCCTATCTGATGTGTTTTATTCTAACTCTGGTGTGAAAGAGCATCTTTTATTTTTTTGATAAGAAATGATAAGAGGGTTAAAGAACCAGGTGAAAAGCTTGTTTTTTATAAAAATGAACAGCGCAAGAAGATTCAAACCACAACCTAATATAATTTTTTTTTGGCCTTTTCTACGGTCCATCCCAGTGTTATGGGATATAAGAGTTAGTTTGTTATTATATTATACAACAATATTAGCATTTCATCAAACAATATACAACTTGAAGGCAACAAAAACCCTTCTTTTTCAAAATGACAAAATTCAACGGACACTCGGTTCTTTCTATAAGAAAAATCTCATTTTTATATCAAGCCAAGCTTGTAGTTCAACCCTTGACCCAAAGTCACAGTGAAGCAGTAAATAATTCATACAATCTCAATAGACACAAAGAGAAACAAAAATCCAAAAATTCACTAACCAAAATCAATCAATAGTTTAAGAATCTACAAGAAAAGAAAAATCTAAGATAAAAGAAATTTCAACTTTCTTATGCTTTCTAAGAAAAAAAGCAGAGTAACAACAGAAACAAAGTAACCCAGACAAAAGAAAATTTTGGAATTCTACGATGAGATTATAACCAAAATTAGATCAAATAAAAGGCAGTTTTTTTAAATTTTAAAACAAAAAAAAAGAAAAAGAAAACCCACCTGAAGGAAGCTTGAAGGAATTGGTTTGCTTGGCTCGTCTAGTGTGAGCTCTTGCTGATGCAGCTGATATTTTCCTATTAACTCCTCCTGCCATTTTTGGGTCTCTTTGAATAAAACCCACCAACAAAACAATCAACCAAAAGTGTTAGAAAGCTCAGAAGAGAAAAAAAAAGAAAGAAATCAAAGAGATCTTAAGAAGAGTCTCTTACTCGAGACAAGAGGAGTTCTATTTTTTTTTTAGTACTAGTATGATTTATAATGACGAGATTTTTTAATATTTTTTGTCTGATTTTTATATAATGACTGAAAAGGCCGTTCCGCTTTAAGAAAGTTGACAACTTGCATTGATGGATGAGGATGAATGCCTTTTGGTGAAATTCATGAACTTTTATAATAGTTTTGTTAAAACTCTTAGACCTTGAAAAGCCCGGCTATCTATGTACTTATAGACTTGTGTATAAATTTTATAGAGCATTAGATAATGATATTTTCTTATCGAGTAGATCTTAGTTTTTAAAATAAATATCTAAAATTAATATTTTTAAAAAATTGATATATCATCATTTAATTTTATTTAGTCATAAAATATTATTATTTGATTCATTAATAATATATAAAGTTTATATATTAATAATTTAATATTACATCAAATATATAAACCTTGATTGCTTTTCGTAATTACTGTGAACTCAACCATGATTTGACTTGACTACTCAACATTAGAGAGTGTCTGCTATTATGTAGCAAAAAAAATTTTGAGAAATCAAAATTTGATGAACTAAATATATTTATTTATATTATATATTTTCATTAATAAATCATAATTTAAAAATTAAAAAATTTTGTAAATACTAGAATTTAAATCATAATCGTGCTGTATTTTTTTTTTTAAATAATTAACTATTTGATTTATTTCAATCTATATTTGATTTAGTTACTCGGGGTATCCATTGAATTAATATAAGTATATAATTAAATTAATTAATAATAAACATTAAAAATACTATAGTTTCAAATTTAATTTATTAGTTTTAGTTTAAAACCTATAAATAAGTTGAAATAATTTTTTCAAAACATCTTAGCAAGTCTTTGAAAGAAGGCACTTTATAGCCAAGGGTTGGGATGTTTCCGGCCATTAAACGCCCAAAGACCCAAATCTGGAATGAAGCCCAAGTGCTATGAACATCTCAATTCTAAACTCAAAGAAGCATAAATTACCAAAAAAGAAGCAAAAATTACCAAAAAAAATGGAAAGAAGCAATGCTGTAAGTTTGTAGTAAACAGTCAGAAACATTTTACAGAAATCTGAAAGCTATATAGAAAGAAAGGGATTTTCCTTCTGCTAGATTGAGTGCATATTGAAATAATAATCACATATTTACACATCTCACCTCCACTGGGTGCAGAGCATACACTGAACAAGAGGGAATGCCTTTTGAAAGAGCATATACCAGTCTTGAAGGGAACCATTATAAGTTTTACAACTCAGCCCCAATGCCTAAGATACATAAACCTGCAGTCTTACATCCTTTAAAAAATTCAAAGAGTATCATATTATCCATTATCATCTCTTTTTTTTTTTCTTTTCAGATTAAAATGTTTACAGCCTCTAACACAGTTAATCAATATGTCCATAAATCCAAGACTGAAAACCTGTGAAAGTATTGTGACAACATCTCACACTAGAGACGAGTAAGAGGTAAATTCAAGCACTAATGTACAGACAGCAGATCTCGAAGAGCACCTATATCTCTAACTCTCAAGGCCTTCAAATTGAGCGGTCTGCTAACCATGATACCAACCAAATAAGCCAAAATCAGCATTCAGTCTTTTACAAAACAGAAAGTTTTACTACATGTACAAAGCACAGTGCTAAACTAGAGGCTTAACTGAATTAATTGATGCAGTCATCTTAAAGGTAGTATCAATAGGTATGAGGTTCAAATTCTTGCAACCTCCTTCCTTATCCTCAAGTTGCGGTCTCTTTTGTATAAACCAAAAAAAGGCAGAGCTCTTCAATCCTTCAAGCTTCTCCAAAACTAAACTCATCTAGTCTCTAAAACAAGAAAAAGAAATTAAAAAAAAAAAAATCATTTTCAAGACGATCAAGGATGTGCGACAAAAAACCCTCTTTCCTAAGGCCAAATGAGAGTTTTTCACCTGGCTTAAAAAGTTTTCTTGAAGACTACGCATATAACCCAACAGTCTCATTAGCCGCACCACCTCCAACAAGATAGCATCCAATAAAACAAAAGCATGAAAGAAACCATAACAAGAACTGGAGTAGTTTGATCATGAATCAAACAAAATATTCATGCCAATATATAGCAGTGAAGATTAAATCTGACAATTTGAGTATTTATATCTATTTATTTCACGTCAAACACATATAAAATACAAAAATTATATGTCACAATTCAACACATCCAACAAAAAACACAGTCTTTGGTTTTTGCCATACATGTATATGATTTTTGCTAAAATTTTAAAGTCACTTTCGTTTTTTGCTAACATACCTATTTAAAATTGCTACGTCTAGTGAAGGTAAAAGCCTACTTCAATTCTTGCAAACAAGTACATATTCAGAATCAATGAGTTTACTACATCACAATAAGCAACTATAAGCCAAAAAAAATAAAGAGCAATTCTGTAAAATTTTAGTGCAATTCAACATTGTAGATATCAAATTTCAACAAAAAAAAAAAAAACCTTTACATTCATATCATCCACTAAAAATCTAGTTCTAAAAGAGGAAAAAAATGAACTTCAATTAAAATATAACAAGAAGTGAAAACAAAGTGTAGATCAAGAAACAAGCGTACGCGATAAGGCCACGATGTTCTTCACCTCCATCAGCAAGCGCCACCATTAAATTGGTGCAAGCCCTAGTGGCCCACACAACAAAAACCCCCGCCATTATGTATCTAGGAACGCTGCTGCCCTGCGGAATAAAGAGCGATGCTGCCGAAAAGATCACAACTGGTAACATACAATAACCAATCACACTCGTACATGTGTGCAGATCTAGGTTGCCGTTGCGTCCGGCTAACATGTTGAAAACGATATAGAGGAAAATCGAGGAGACGACGATCCAGCCGAGGATTACCCCAAATTGGATCTTGCCGGCGAGGAGTTGGAATAAGCAGAGGGATAAGTAGAGGAAGATTGGCCCCGACAGGTCTGAGTCTTTGTGGGCCGTCGCGTTGACCCGGAAAGGATTGAGGATGGATTTCGTTTTGTGCCAGATTTGGTCCGGGTGGATGCCGAGTTCGTCAAGGAGGGGTTCTTCGTCATCGAATGAGGCGGATCCGAATGCTGCTGACGAGGAGATTGTGCCGCCGAAGGATCCGGATGATGACGCGGCGGAACCGATATCGAAGGACATGAAAGGTATGGCGGAGGAGGAGGAGGATGATTGAGGGCGTGTAGGTTGGAATGGAGCCGTTGGGACTCGGCGTTGGTTGATGTTTCCGACGGTGGGGTTGACTCCACCGCCGGAGGGGAATATCACCGGCGGCACCGTGAATTCTTTAGTCATTTTTGTTAAAGCTACTGCGATTCTTCAGTGCGTAGATATTTAGCGAGAGAAAAACAAGGAATTTCCCCCCCCCTTTTTTTATTTCGCCCCGATATGTTTCTAACTTATTTTTCCTCTTATAGCTTTTATTGGACGGTGAATTGAAGGGTATTTTTGACAATTCGTGTAAATTGCTCCAGAATATATCCTGTGTTGAACGGCAGGAGATCAGTAGGATAACTCGTTTTGCACCAGCGAAATTACATTATTGCACATTTCTCTTTTTTCCTCTTATTTTTTAAATGATATTTTTCTTGAGTAAAATGCTTTTATGTTTTATATTATGTTTTTTAGAAAAAATTTTAAAAAATTAGTAAAAACTCCAAAATAAATAAAAAGAAGTGAAAAAATAAAAACATTTTAAGTTTTATTTGGTGCATAATTTTATTTTTTATTATTTGTTTTTATTTTTTATTTATTTTATTTTATTTTTAATTTTTCTTACAAGAAAACAAAAAATAAAAAAAATAAAGCATTTATTAGGTGGAACATAAATTTTCAATCAAAATTCATAAGTAGTTATTAAAAAAAAGTCAAAAGTAAATTATTTGATAGCTTTCCACAAAAAAAAAAAAAAGTTCATTTGGCACCACTTTTCCTTAATCCTCAAGATTGTACTTTGCAAGGCTAAAAAGTTTATTTGTGTTTCATTGAGGTTTTTTTTTTATTAAGATTGTAATCCTTAATAGCCTATTTAAATCTTTAACAATCTATTTCATTAAATTTAACTTTTTTAAAAATAATTGTATAAATTAAATTGAAATTTTCTTGTATTAAAAGAGAGTGTTTTATAACATTGAACATGGGTTTTGTCTTATAATTGTCACTTTATCTTTCCTCAATTAAAGCTTAATTTAATATTATTTTTGCGATTTGAAAAAATGTATTTAAAAATGTTGTTAAAAAAATGTAGTTTAAAATTCTAAGTTTTTTATATTATTATGAAAACATATAATTAATGTATTTAAATATCTAAAAAAATTATATACAAATTAATAAAATTTGACCTTTTAAACGTACTTTTTACCACAAAGCACACTTCTAAAGAACTTTTACATTTGGTTTACAAAATCATTTTTTTTAATCATAAAACTCAAAATTTTCATCCTATTTAACGTTGATATCATGATGGAAACGAAATTTTTTTAGTTGAAAGCACTTTTAAACTTCAATGTTAAGTTTAGTTCAAATCGACATCATGTGTTTAATGTACAACCTGATAAATAATGTTGGATTAATAACTTTATTTTAATTAATAGTTGGTTTTTATGATTCATCGAACACTTTTATATTTTTGTACTTTTGAAACTGTTTTAAGATAAAATGATGATTATAATATTTTTTTAATCAATTTAAAGGAGTAACAATCACTTGAGAAGATCAATGTGAAATTTGTTTTTCACAATGGTTAAAAAAAAAAAGGTCAAATACTTCAATGAAAATACATAATTTTTTATATGTAAATTTATTCGGGGACAAATGTAACTAGATATAAATTACCAGCATTAAAAAAATTAACTATTTTTATTTGTATATTAGGAATTGAAGCATGCGAAAAGATGACATAAATGTAACTATAAACACATAACAGCTAAGTCGTTGTAGTATAGTGGTAAGTATTCCCGCCTGTCACGCGGGTGACCCGGGTTCGATCCCCGGCAACGGCGAGGAGATTTCTTTTTACAATCAAAACGATTGTCCACAGCAAAAACCCGCTATTGATTTTTTTGAAACACGTCGATTTCCCTGCCTTTTGTACCTTAGGTTTTCGCAAACAAGAGAGGGCGCAAGAACTACTTTTTTTTTCCTTTTTTTCTCAGCAGCCAAACAGAGGTTTCGGAGGAGGTTAAGGATCCTCTCCCTGCAAATATCGCGTAAATCCAAAGGGCTCCAGTGGTAATCTTCAGGTTTTCCTTTTATTCGGTGTTTGGCATCTCAAATTTCAATTTAGATTCGATTTGAAACCAATGTCTACAACTTGCTATCGTAGGTCTCTGCCTTTGGCCACCTTTGGCTTTTACATATGGAGATCAGGAATCAGATCACCATTCAGAAATGTAGATCGCAAACAATTTGATTTCTCGCACAGGTAAGTTTGTTTTGTGCATATATACGTAGTGAGCTATATTTTTCTGCTCCCGCCTAATTCTCCCACCGGGCTTCGGCTTTCACAAGGGACGAGCAATGTGTTACTAAATAACACCCTTTTTTTCGGTCTTCATTTCAGTCCATGATTGTTTTATAACTTATTTTCTCACAGATTGAGGCCCATGGGTCCATTCCAACTGTTTATCTGATTACTTTTTTGGAGACATTATGCCTTTTCTTCCAAAGCTTCATTGGGGGGGGGGGGGGGTAGCTATAAAAATACATTTATAATAAGGGTAAATATAGAAAAATCTTATAATTTGTTAATCATACTATAAATGTAAGTGATATGCTTTTTCGAATTTGAATTTTTAAAAATAAATTTTGATCAAATTAAAATTTAATAAATAATTTTTTTTTAACTCAATTACATTATACTTAATCTTTGATGTCATCCATTAGAACTTTTTTATTTTTTTTTATCAAAGACTAAGGTCCATGATCAATTCCAAGAGATTGGCTAAGGGTTGAACTAATTACTAGTTATGCGAGGCATTATTGTGATGTCTCTACGTTCTGATATCTGAGCCAACACTGGAAGAGTTGTCCTTTTCGCATTTTATTAAAATGGACCAGGGGTGGCAGTGGAAATACAGCAAAGGCTAAGATCTCTACTCTTTATTTTGTAAGTAGTAGTTGAAGCAGCTCTTGTTCTTTTGCTTGCTCTTGAGTCTTTAACATCAATAAAATATTAGTACACGATTAATTTATAGTAGATGACATAATGGGATATCCTTTCCCAAGACTAATACTAGAGTTGAATTAGATGACATGATCAAATCAGTCTCGAGGAGACTGAAACGAAAGTTGTTAATATGAATAAGGTAATATTTTAATTTTTTTAAAAATTATAATTTATTATTTTGATATATTATTTTAAATTTTTTTATTTAATATAAATATATTTATAAATGTGAATAAATTTGTATATTATAATATTATTAATAATTTATAAAATAAATCTATAATATTTTTAAATATCTAATTTGATTATATAATATTTAAATAAATATTTTTTTAATGTAAATATTAAGATAAAAGTAAAGAAATGAAAAAAATGAATCAAAACTTTATGATTGTTAAATTTTATAAAGGGAATATAATTATTTTCTTAAAAGAAATTAAAATACTTATAAATTTTGATTTAAAAAAATAAAAAATAAAATTATAAATTTTGGTTTGAAGAAATAATGTATAAAGAAAATAAGTTAAAATAAAAAAATTAAAAAACTTAAATTTTAAAGATTATTTTGTCGATTAATTTTATGTTTATTAAGTTAAAATAATTAAATAATAAAATATAAAATATAAATTAAAAATTATAAAATATATTTTACATTCATATAACGATTGAAACATATTATTTTATTAAAACTCATCAAGATTAACTAGAATTAATAAAAATAATTGATATTATTCATTATTAAATTTGATAAAAAAATTATTTTTAATTATATTATATTATAATATAATTAAAACATATCAATAGATACAATTCATACCCATATAAAATTAAAAATTATGATCAAACAAACTCAAGGACAAATGAGTCATATATCTTCCAAGATTTAGTGACTTGCCAAAATAAAGAAAAAAAGGCTTATTTATTTCCAAATCATGTTTTGCAGAGTAGTTCTTCGGGTTCTTGAGCACTGATTGACTGTCGTCAGCCAATCCTGTTCTAGGTCTTCGAAGGAGATTCGAGTCATCATACTTTTGTCCTCCTTCTTAGTTTCCAAACTGACTAGCTGTGCTGCTGACAGGGTTTGGTGACCTAAGAGGTTATGAAGGGCAAGGGCCAGGGGAGGGGTTGATAGACATATTTGAGTTTGATAAGACATGCTTTTTTGTTATCTGAAGGAGGTTGCTTGATGGTCAACCAGCATCAGCCAAGGGGCTGTGTCATGTCCGTGAGTTGATATTGTGGGTTACCACCTGTTCAAGCTTAATAAACCTTCATTGACTTTCTTCTTCTGAATCTTTTGTTGACGTTACCTTTGATTAGATCCTCCCATCACTCTCTTCCTAAACAGAATCTTAACGAAAAGCCCCCTTTCAAATCTAATGATACTTTGTTCTGAATTTTTTACTTTGAAAGAAAATCTGAATTTCTTGGTCGGAAGCTGCATTTTTTTCACTGGTTATTCAATGTACGACAAATTAGATGGTAAGTGTTGGATTATTCCCAAAGCTAGCCATTTGGCTCTTTCACCTGCTTAAGCAACTCAAAAGTCACCCATTCTTTCCTGCCTGGTTCCTTTTTCACCTCAGGCAACTCAAAACATACATTACTTCCTTCTTTTAGGTAAATCAAACTTCCTTAGCGGACACTTTAACCCCAATTGTGGATTAAGCACTCTTGCTTAGGATGAAGTATTTGCTTCCCAATTATGTCTGGTATTTTAAACCATTCTAATACTCGTTTTACACCGTCTGCGTTTTGAACCATATGCTTGTAATAGTAGTTAGGAAAAATCTAGTCTAGAGAATAGAGTTCATTGACAATTTAGTGAAACGGGTGGTGCTGAGAGATATTTCTAGTTTTGCCACGTTTTTATGGCAATTCTGAAACATGGAGTTCGTTTGTCCAATTAAGTAATCCGCCTACATTGATGGTGCCATTATCCAATTTAGAGAGAGAGAGAACAAAACACTAAAACTAGATTTATGATAATATTATATTCCCTTCCAGCAGTAGCCTGATACATCCATTGTCGTTCACAAATGCGTATCTTAACACCCCCACAGAAGAAGATATGAGAAAGATGATAATAGAAATAAGCCTGATAGGAAGTTACTAGTAGTATCCTAACGATTTTAACTGAAACCAAGCTACTACTATTGTTTGGCTATGGTTTTACACAAAAAAGTCTAGGGGGAATCTATTTGGGGTCATGATGTCTATCTTGCTGAATCAGGGTTTGCTAGAATTGGAAGGGTTTGGGTTAGAACTGGAGCTGACGTTGAGGTCAGGAATGGTATTTGCTGAATTTCCCTTTGAGTTGGCCTTGGAGAGTTTCTGTTTCAGCTCAGATAGCAGGGCTTGATTCTCCTCGTTGAGAAGCTGTGCTTTCTTCCTTAGCCTCTCATTCTCTTTCATTATGTAACAGTTCTGCAGGTACAGATTTGAGTTCAACCTTTCCATGAAAGTAACTTTTTCAAACTGCCTGTAATGCCCCTGAACCAAAAAAAAGAAAAAAAAAGAACAGAAAGAAATGGTATCAGGATAAAAGAGTATCTCTGATAATATTCTCTATTGCTACAGAAATCATTGCACTACACATGGAGACAGTATTGTTATACTATTTTTATATGCATACTTTTAAATATTAGAACTATCAAATTATATCACCCTTATCTTGATCTAAATGTAAAAAAAATTCAGGAAAGGCAGAAACACATAAAAAAATTTAACACATTATTTTTAAAAACGTACTAATAGATACTATATTAGTATGTAAGAGACAAATAATCTGTATGCAAGCATGGCATTTAATTCAGTGAATAATGAACTACTAGTTCTCTAAACATGTAAAATACATACTTTGATTGTTTGGCATGTATTCAAGAAATGAATATCCAAAATTGTCCATGAACATATGAAGTTGACAAAATACTATGTTAAATTTTAAGAAAAAATATCAAGAGAGAAGAGAAAGCCAACCAATTAGTAAGTAAAAGTCCAAAAACTAGATATAACCTGTAAAGAATTTTGTAAATTTCTAGGACAGTCTCTCTATTTTCCTGCTTGGATAGATAATAGTGGTTATCTCGTTAGTAGCACAAGAAACCATTACAACTAACAACAGAGAAGAAACAGAGCAGGTGGATGCCAAAAGACGATTGTGAGTAGTATTTTTTTGGAGCAGCCCTAGCATTTAAATAAACCAAATATTTTGTGCGTTAAATAAATGGAGGAAGGTTGAGAACTAGAGGAACAAATGTCCAAAACTCTTTCAGCTGCCCATACGTGAAAGAAAGGGATAAAGATCATTGGAAGATCAACTACAGATTGAACTTGTTGGTTTTTAGCTTTGTATTCATGTAGAAGAACGCTTCCTCTTCATATAGAAGTAAGGGACTGAAAGTAGTTAGAAAACAGAAAAAAAGAACGAGTTCAGACATGGAGAAAGACAAATAACCCCATAAAAGAACCATTGAGGGGGCTGAAACACAAATGTCGTAGAACCCAAGAGAGAAAACATTCAAAAACTACTGACATAAGACATCCCTCAAAATGAGGTGAAATAGGAAGAAAATTCCAACATTGGGAACTTACTAGTTTTTATACAAGATAACAGAACTCAAACACTTAAAGAAAACATCATATGTAGGATGTCTGGTTAGAAACAGAACAACATTTTAGCCTCCCCCCCTTCCACCTTACAAAACAACTTAAACTAGTGCCCATTAACATGGACTATGTCTACCCTTTCTTGGTGAAAGAAAGAAAATAGAAACTCAAAGAAGATTTATCTTTTCAAAAAAGATCACCTTTTCGAGAAGGTTGGTTAGAGAGCGGTGGCCGAGGAAGCTAAAATCTGGCTTCTAACAACTAGCAGCAGCGGTAAAAGAAAAAGGAAAAGAATGCAGTGAGGGACAAAATGGAAGAAAGGAGATGTTAATATATAGAGATAAAGGTAAGAGAGAGAGAGATCACAGACCAGCAGGAAGAAAAAGAGGGAGAAAAGCTTATGGTGGGGGAAGAGGACATGACTCTCTCGTCTGACACAACAATCATGCATGAAGCGGCCGGTTAGGGGCGAGGATTTAATGTTTTGGCTTTTATATGATGGTGGTTGATGAAGGGATATGGCGTCATGTGAATGATAATGGAAAGGGGAAGTGGAGGGAACTCGAACTTCCTTCTTTTTGCATAAGTTCACGAAATCCGCATTATGGTTGATCATTTAGAAGGACAATTACGGGTTTTCCGGCTAGGACGTATGGGGTGGCTTCTAAAATGATGGTGGGTTAGTCCGTCCCAAGATTTGCTATGATGGTTTGGATTAGTTCGAACCATCATCACCACCCCCACACCCTTACCCTTCCCTCCTCTTCCTCCTCCTCCTCATCAATCCTCTTCTCTTTTACTTCCTCATTATTTTTGACACTGAATTATTTCTTTCCTAGTTTGACTTCTCGGTCTGGAAGCTGTTGATAATAATCATTTTTTTATCTTAATCTTTTATGAATTTATATTTAAAATTAAATAATACTATTTCAGTAATCAAATTTTTTTAAAAAATCAAATTTTATATATTTATTTTAAAAATTAAAAAACTTCTATTTAATACTATCTAATTTTTAAATTTATGTTTAAAATGAGATAATATTATCTGATATATATAAATTTTATATATTAATAATTCATCAAATAAAAACGGATTTTTTTTTTTGGGAAAATGACCCCTTTTTTGCATTACACATGCTAAAAAAGTCTTCTATTAACAATTATATCTACAAAATAGGGTCACATAAAAATTATGCCTACTCATAGGAGCAGATTTAAAATTCAAATACGATAAAAATATACTAAAAACTTTGACTATTTTAAATTAAAGGGTAATATTTTCCTATTGTAATTTCACTTGATCATTCCAAAGTATGAAATAATTCATAAATAACACATGTAAATAGTAGTAATTAAATAAAAATATGAGAATGTACAAATTTCATCAAATTAAAATCTAAAAATACATTATCAAATGCTCATAGTTGTAGATTTTGTTGTTAAAATTAAAAAAAAAAATCAAGTGTAAAAAAAATTTGAATGAGAACGATATTTGATAATGAAAATTTATCTCATATATAAGTGATGGAGTTAAAACCTTCACCAACAAAATTAGGAATAAGCATTTATTTTTTAAAACTATTTTTTAAAAAACTAATATATAAAAAAAAATATATTAATTTTTTAATTTCATTTATAAAATTTTAAAAAAAATTTCTTGGTATATAAAATAATAATTTATTGATTACTTAGCCTCACTCCAATTCTTTTCATCATATACTAAAATTGGGGAAAATTGTAGTGGGGTATTTTAGTTTGCCAAACCAATGGGCATTTCGAGTGCAATCAAATGACAACATTACCCCTACGACTTTGGACTGTTTTACACCATCAATGATGTTTTGTTTTACGTTATTATAATCATAAGCTAAGCATATTTGCGGCCAATAGTTACTGTAAACTTTGAAATAATGAAGAAAAAGGAGAGAAAAAAAAAAAAAAGGAAGGGGTTGGAGCAGCCGCAACTCCTCATGTTATGAGTGCGCTAACGTGAAACTCATGGCTGGACGGACGGCGTTTTTGGATGGGTCTATGGACAAAATCGTCAATTCATGGGCTACACACTCGTCCTCGTGGAGCTCGTTCATTTTGTTTTGAGTGTTAATTTGAGCTTTGCTTACCTCAAATGCAATTATTATTCAATGGGCTGATTGATGCTTTAATTACCCCTTTACCCTTAACGGTTTATTTCCCTACCCTTCCAAACTAAATGAAATCTCTATTTGCACATAATAATAATTACAATAATCATTAATAATCATATAATTTTATTTAATTAATTCATATAATTATCTATTTTTTTCCTTCCTTTAGCTTCCATTTTCTTTTTTAGTTGCCATCTTATCAAAATTAACGGGAACAAATGACCTTCTTGGCAAGTATATTTTAAAAAATATTGTTGATGGATTTCTATAGACATTGGTTACGAATAGATAAATATCTGTTAACAGGATCCGATGATCAAAATCTAAAATTTGTGATCTTAATGGTGGGAATTATAAGTTAAATGACCCACAGATAAAGAAGAAAGGCTTTTTTTTCTTTGGCCAAGAAGAAGAAGAAAAGCTTTGACCTCATCAAACATATCAAGTCCTTTAAAGTTGTCAACTATTCTGAAGTCATGGTTAATGATTTCACATAATTTCATTGCCCTGCAATTTCATGGCTAATGATGAAAATTTTAACATTTTCATGGTTAGCAAGTGCTGCCAACCCTACACGTGAGCTTAGGGGTTTTCATGTATTTCTAGAGTGGGTGATTTTAGGGGACCAATGTTGAATTCACACACGCGTTTAGAATTGGGCTTTAGACTTGTTTTTGAGAATCAGGAATTGCTTCTTTATTAAACTCATCCAATAAAGTCATTCCTTGCATCTTAAAAAAATTAGTAGTGTCACGTGGTTTGTTCATTTATTTTTAGAGATATTTAGATTTAATTTGTGTTTGGTAAAAAAATTATTCTATTCTTTTGAGCTTACTTCGTTTAAATGGAAGAATATTCGTATTCTATTTATATTTGATTCATATTTAATTAAATTAAATTAAATGAGTTCGTTGTGAATAATAATGAATATGTTCACACATTACAAGTGAATATATTCATAAATAATAAATAAATTATAATTAAATAAATTTAAACAAACAAACATAAATAAACATAAACAAATCCAAACAAATATAAACGAACTTTAAAAGAAGATTAAGATAAAAGATAACAATATAATTTTGTTAGCATTATTATAAACGAATAACAAATATATAATAAACGAATAAATTTTAAATAAACTTTAAATAAGTTCATTCATATATATAAATGAATCAAACAAATTTTTATTCATATTCAATTCGTTTAATAAATAAATATAAAAATATTATTTAAAATCATTTGTTAAACTTAATAAATAAATAAAAATTAAATATATTCATAAATAATTTATCAAAAACTGTGTTCATTTACACCCTACGAATGAAATGTGCATTTTCTTTGGGGTGCTGATTTCCACTTTGCTGGTTAACCCTAGGCTTTTGACTTAAGTACGTATAATTCAGTGGCTTTGAATCAGAAAAAAGAATAGTGGCCCTGAAACGCAAAGCAGCAAAGCCACTGTTAGGCCCAATGTTGCTCAGGTCTTGTTTCGGTCGATACATGTAACCATAGAATTTATAAACCTTTAAAAATTCACAACTAATAAATAGAATTAATTTTCAACAAATACATTATACAAAACAATTTCCCATTGATTTTTCATCTACATTAGTACTTTTTTTTATTAAATTTGTCTTGTAGATCTACAATTATCTTTCTTTCTCTAACTGAATCAATGAATCAATTCCAACATACATTTCCATTTTAGACAACTTTACAAGCAGGATCAGAAGAGAGGCTCGTAAACCAAACTGTGTCAGCAGCAACTGAAACATCATCGTCGTTCCTATACCATGTCCAGACCGCATGGGTTGCGTTCAACACCTTGAGTTCTCCGTGCCCGAAGCTTGCCTCCCTAAACACTGATATTTCAGGCGTCGGATCCATATACCTGAACAAGATTATAGATGGAAACTATTTATGTTGAAAACCAGAAACAAATTTTCGTTTGATTGGTTGACTTTGATTAGGATGATTTGCGTCTAATGAGATTTAAGGGGCACAAAAAGTGAATCTGATTTTGTAAAATTTTGGATCATATATACGTGAATCTAATTTGTTTGATTATGACATGACCCTTTCAAGTTTTCTTAGACAGCACGATAGGTTCAATCATAAAACGATATTAAGAAGTGAGACTCCCATCACACTATCAAAGGAACTTTATACGTTAAAAAGTCATAAATGTTAGGAATTTTTTAGATGTAATTGCCTATTTTAACAGTGCCTTGACCATTTTAGACTCGATTAGCTGGATTTGAGAATGACAAGCATTCACAATATGTTATAGGAGTTAGAGAGCAAAACAAATCTGTGCATCTTCGGAAAAGCAACTCACTTGCTAGCTAGACCTTCGCGGTTGCCACCGTCCCCAATTGTGATGTGCACTGAAGCACAATTATCAGCTGTTCCATTGTAAACACGAGTCTTGACATTGAAAAGGAGAAAGAAGCAAGAGGATTAGCAATCTTTGGAACTAAAGAAAATGGCGAAAAATGAAGATAACGACGATGAAAAGGAAGCTTACGAAGCGTTCATAAGCATGAACATGCCCAGCAAAAACAAAATCAACCCCAGCATTATAAAGTAATCCTTCCATGGATTTCTTCATGAGAACTGATTCAGGCTCCCCTTGGTGAGCAGTATTGGTATTATACCAGGGTGCATGAATAATCGCCACGATCCATGGAGTTATACCCCTGTTAATCTTTCCGAAATCTGCTTGCAGCCACTTGAATTGATCGGAATCAGGATCAAAATCTGTGTAAGAACCCAGCATGATAACATGGACCCCGGCCACATCGAAGGAATAATACAAGTTGGAAGTTGAACCGCTTTCCTCAAATGGCATGTGCCATCTTGCGTTATAGGCTGTGAAGGGTGTGGAATGGATGACAGGGATCCTTTCGACTTCGTGGTTCCCTTGCGTGACCATCCAGGGTCTTTGGCTAGCCAGTGGCTCGACCAGGCGGCCAAATGAATCCCAAAGAAATTGTACAAAATCAGCATATGCCAAGTCCCCTGGCAGTAGCAACATGTCGTAGTTCGATTGTCCTATGTGTTCGAGAGTTGTGTTTGTCCATCCTGTCAGTCCAAGATCACCTTGTATATGTGTACAGATAATTAACAATAATAATAATAATAACTGACAAACTTAATCTTAGAAGTTGACATATGACATACCTACGACAGCAAATTTAATCGGAAGTTGAGCTGGAGGGGTTTTGAGACGGAATTCGCGGCTTGAATCCGAGCTGCAACGATAGTAATAGACGGTGTTCGGATTCAATGGACCAATGACAACATCATGAATTTCACCAGACGTATATAAAAGGTAACGGTAGGAGGATGTACTTCCAGTTGCAGATTTCGAGTACACCCCTGGAGATGTACCGTATTCTACTATTGGTGAAGCTGAGCTTTCTGTAATCCAAGATATCCTCATTTTATCAGCACCAACTAGAGACACATGCACCTGCAACAGCAAAAAATATCATTTAAAAAATAAAGTTAATCATTGAATAGCAATTAAGAGAGGAAGGAAAAGAGTGATTGCTGTTCAAATGGAATTAAGTTTATATATAGTATTAATAGCATATCCAAAAAGAAATTAAATATGCTATGTTTATAGCGTAAATTACATATAAATACCTTGTGATTATGGATAGAATAAATTTACCTCCTTATATTTAAAAGTAACTCTTAATCCCTTTATATTTTGCTTGGTTAACATTATCTTTAACGTTGTTGGATCTAACCCTTCCTTTTCCTATTTCTTTTAAAGTTATGACATCAATCCACCATTCATCACCATCTCCAGAAGCCTTCTCTCATTTCATCTCTTAATTTTACTCACCAAGCCGGTACTCATTTGCATCTCCGCCATACCCGTGAAAATTTATTACCGTCATGCCCAGCAAATTGAGTAAAATCTTTTTTTCACTTCCTTCTTCTTCCTTCTACAATTTAGATAATGGCCAGCAACTAAAAATCATTTGTTGAATCTCATTTTTTCTAATTTATTCTTCTAATTATTTTACCACTCTTCTCTTTCTTTTTTTCTCTTGTTCAAACTCTAAACTCAAAGTTTCTCTTTTTAATTAAACTCAATCAATTGATAATTTTTCAATTACAAAAGAAAGCTAAATTCAGAGAAATAGAATCCAATTCTATTACCATTGGAAATCAATAGTGAGTTGCTCAATTGTCCTACCATCTATATTTCTACTAAACTCAATTATATTGGATTCTTGTTGAATTGGATTTTAAAATTTTTAATATTTGAGTTTTGAATTGATTGAATTTTTTAATGGGTTGTTGAATTTTTCAATGAAAATAAAAAAGAATGAATAAAAAGATAAAAAAAATTTTGGAGAACTTCTCATTATCTAGTTTTAGGGAGAGAAAGGATGAATTGATGAAGAAGGAAAAAAAAAAAGAAGATTTTGAGTAAAAAAAATAAAATAATTCATAAGATAATTAAGTATCATTTTTTAAATCTGAAAAGTTATTTTCAATTTGTTTCAAATCACAAAATATATTATAAATAATTTACCCTAAATTATAATGTCATTTGGTAAAAATCCCATCTCTATCATTAATTCTAGCATTCCAAGAAACATGTAATTTTAGTCTAAGTCGTAGTAATCTATTATCATGACTCTAGCCAACCACTTTGACTTAACGAGCTCTAAGTTGCCCTCATCGGTTTCATTATCAAATAATTTATAGATAGCAAGAAAATATACTATGAAAAATTTGTGGATTACGCAGAAAATTTTACGTTTTGGTGGGTTTGAGAACTGAGTAATTATGCAGATTTGGTGATCTAATCAACAGGGCCCTGAACCTAACTCCATAATCTAAGAGCCCCCTCCTCAACATGCAACCTTGGGTTATACGAATACTCCTCATTCCTCAGGCAGATTATAATAGATTTCTAGAGTTTCCAGGGACAGTACATATTCTCTTTGGATTTTCCGCTTGTGTTAGTCAACTGAAACTCGAAATAATTGCTAGCTGATAGATGCCATAATTGGGCTGCAAACATGGAAGAGAAACACAGCTTGATACAAAAGTATTCAATATTGTCGACTGTCCCTGGATCTTTTTAATTAGGTAAGTAAGAAGGGTAGGGAGGTTTAAAGGTAAATCAAAATTTTCAAAAAAAAAAAAAGTATTCAGTATCAGTGTGGCAGGTCATGTTTTTTAGGCAATTTCACCCATAATTATAGCTCCTACCAACCTGGAAAAACAAAAGAAGAACAAAATTTGCAGTACCCAAATTTTCTAATCTTCATTTTCCTAGAACATGAATAAGATGAGCAATCTCTCCGCTTTACAGAAACCCACCATGCAAAGCCTTAACAAACTTATAACGAAAAAACTGGAAGTTCAATGAAAACGTAAGGTAAAAAGGTATTAAAATCTGCATAAAGAATTCAAAATGGTTACCTGTTGAGGGGAAGTTGAGGAAAACTCTTCAGCTTGAGGCACGGAAATGTCCTTGCGAGGAGGAGGACGATCATAGGAAACAACGCACCCAATGAATCCGGCAAAGACCGTGGCTAATACAAAAAACAGAACCGGCCTTTTGATAACAGCCATGGCCACTTATCTAAATACTCGAAATACACCAAGAAGAAGACGATGATGAAGAACAAGAGGGAAGGCAGCTAGGCTAAATAATAAAGTATGTTTCCTCGTACAAACTGGTAATTGAACTTTGCAATCAGTTTGGTATCTGTCTATTAGCATTATATAACATTAGATGACGACATTGGATTGGAAGTTGAAAAAAAAAAATAGAAATTAAGCAATTGGGAACACACATGGGACAAAGAAGGTAAGACAAGTGTAAATAGGAATATTCTTGGCATATGAAAACTTAAAATAATGGGTATTTAATTTTTTCAAGTATGGTATTTTGATTTTATATTTGGCATTCTCTTTATTTTTTTTTTCCTTTTTTTACCTTGGCTTGGTATGCAACTTTGCATGTATACTCCTGTCATTGTTTCCAGTGATTATCATTTTGAACAAGGCTTTTCCTTTTGTGTCAGTTTTAGGACTATTAGTGGAAAATTTTCTTTATTTTAGCTGTCTTATTTATGGACCTTTGTTATCATTTATGCAAAGCCATTCAGAACTTGCCTAATTAAAAAACCATAACTCTTTTTATATATTATTTATATTTTTTGATACATTATATTATTTTATTTTAAAAAGGGTATATATGCTAAAAAAAATATGAAATTTAATTCAATTGATTTATACAATCAATTTTAATAAGTGACAATCAATAAATTTGAATATCAAATCTCAATATTTTTATCATCTTACTTTATTTTAGACTATGACCTTTTATACAAAAAAATAAATGTCCCAAAAAAAAAAAGTTTACACTTAAATTGAATGAGCAGCAGCTAGCTAGCCTATTTAGAAGTGATAGTTATAAGATTTTTTTGCACCTCATTTCTATTAATTACATGAATGGTTGCATATATATATATGGTGACAGGATTAATTAGCTTGGAAATTGATTAGGATTACAATTAACATTTGGGTTTATTATTAGTATTATAATATCCAGGTTTAGGGATAAATATACAAGAATAATTAGGCTATAATTATCATTTTCATTATTTGTTATTACCAACTTGAATAATGTTTCACTTTTCAAACACGACCATCCTTTAACTTTTAGTTGATTTTAATAGAATTCTATGAAAAGAGTTCTGTTTGAAATTCTCTTGCACTTATCTCTCTTGATTACTCTTTTGCTGCATGCTGTCAAGCAGCTGGCTACTTAATCAAGGCAAAGTCTTTGCACACAACAAACTCAGGTTTTCAACTATAGTTTTCAATTTTTGTTTTCTGTTATCCATTGTGTACTTCAAACGCAAAGGTATCCGACATCCATTGACGACAACAGTCAAAAAATATGGCAAACTTTTTCGAACACATATGCTTTTGTTGTTAATTAGGTTACAACTACACCATGTGCAGAAGTTTCAATATATAATTATGTTTAGAGATCAACTCATCGAGTAATTGACCATTAATTTGACTTTGAGGGGATCAAATTGGGTATTGAGTGTAGTCAATCATTCTTGGATCACACAATTTTCATTAGTTTAATGAAAGAGTTTTAATGGGACTGTTTAACTTGTTCCAAAAGTATGCATTTCTCATGAAGTTCTTTGTGAATCACCATACAAATGTGTTACAAAGGGAAATTTGACCTTTAGATTAAATCAAAGAAATTGGTGTAAATTATAGAAGAGATATATATCCCTCAAGAATTTTTAATCATTTCAATCTAAAACATATTTTTCATGATTCATGACTCAATTACATATAGAGCTCAAAGAATGTATAAGTTATTAATAATAAGCTTACAATTTATTGAGTGTTTCAAAATTCATCCATATCCAATAATCCAAGATCAAACACATTGCTTTCCTCTCTTTTGGTGTCAAAATTAATGAGCAAAATTGGAAAAAGTTTATCTGAAACATCAAACATGTGATTAAGGTGGTCAGATGTCGACTATCATTCTTAACTCATATTAAAAGTCAAAGAAATCCTTATCTTCTCCGACAAAGTAGGAACGGGCCAAACCTAAATCGAATTGTTACATCGTCAATTCATCATCAGTGTTTGGTTTCACTCTGATCCCTGCAGTCCTCCTAGGTTTGCAAAGTCAGAAAAAGACTACCATATAAGAAGCTACGGTTGTTACGATTTGATTGTGAACGTTGTTGTTGGTTTTTCTAGTTTTCCAAGCTTCAACCTGCTCCAAGTGTCCCTTCTTATTATAAACCTCCAAGCATGTTCGCGTAGTTGGTACCTATAGCTAATGATAAACAGCTAAAGATGGAGAAAAAATCATGGCCGAACCATGACTGAAGGCGAGCATACCTCACATCTTTCAATACTTCTTTTATTATTCCAGCAAGATTCACCATGTTAAGATTGGATCCTTGTTAAAACGAATCCGGAGCTTCCAAGTATGGTAAGTAGCTTTCACAATCCGGAGCTTCCAAATATGGCACAACGAATAATCTAATTCATATAAAGTAAAACAATTGCAATTATTTTCAGTTACAGCTAACCAAACCGTAAACGCAATCTTGATTATCTGCAAGCTTGATTAATCATTTTGATAACGGAGAAACTTCATAATTGGTTAAATCTGCTTTTCTTTAATTTGTGTGTATATATATATATATGACTGCTAATGATATGTTCACATGTTTTCTTGAGAAAGTTAAGTGGGGTGGTGTTTTAAGCTAAAGCAAAGCCCCACGGAAGGAAAATTAAAAGCGCAAACTTTATACATGCTTAGTTATTTGGCTAGCTAGATAGCTTAGCAAATTTAGAATTAGTATACATAAATTGGGAACCCGATTTTTCATATGTTTAACTTGGAAACTTGATGGGTGATGTCTATGGCTTGTCTTGTATTGTGCGACTCTTATAGGTACAACCAAGAAAATTATACCTTATCTATCTTGTCACTAAACATATGGTTGTTTTTTGTTCTTTTAAAAAGTAGTTGCTGTACAAATTTAGGAAGAAAATTTGTGAGACCCATCAAATTAAGGAACCTTAAAAGCAACTATACATTTTAAGAATTCTTATCTGGACATGAATTCTATGCTCTTTGCATAATCCAAGTCCCCCCTCTAAAGTTTCGGAACATGGGTTAAATTTGTAGTTAGAATCCCTACATTCATTTGGAACATAGCATAATTGCATCGTGTTGGAAAGATAAAATTCTAGAAATTAATTTTTCTTAACAATTTGGAAAATCTCTTAAATCTTATTTAGTTGGAATTTGAAAGTATCATATGTGCTTGATACGAATTTGCCTATTTTTTATTTTTTTTCATATATTTGAAAAGTTGGATTTTTATAACCATGTTCGTCGGATATTTGTGTCAGATACGAGTAACCCATCTGTAAACATTTCAGATCGCCCTACGCCTTCGTTAGCTAGTGCATCAGCCATTCCTTTAGCCTCACTCTCCCACCTCTGCAATAAAGAATTCGATGACTCAAAAGATTTCCCATAGCTTTCAAGGTCAACTTTCACACCAACTAACCGCCACTTTTGAATCAGTTGAAAAGCTATATATGGCCATGGAAATGTGGTTTTGGCAGGCCATGTTCATGCATATGAACGATTTGTAAGTCACTTTTCTTTTGATGAGAAAAGCTATGGATGAAATATATTAATCACAGTATAAGAAAATGCTATAGTAAGTAGTCGTCGAACAATAACAAATCTAACAACAACTAATTATATTTTATTTGTTTTCAATTTGTTGCAGAGTAAGATTTTGAATTTAGATCAATGCATATCCCCATTAAATTACCCATCTCAACATTGTGGGGCTTATTATTGCAACACAAAGCCTAATGGGGACCGTAGATCAGAGAGCCAAAATGAATTCCTAGTTCTTAAGTTACCAAACTCCTGACCAAACTAAGAAGAAAATTTTTTACTACTAATTTATTTTCGATGTCTGTTGCTATCATTTATCTTTTACATTGATGATGAATCAGAATTCGCCAACCCTTTAAAATGAAACAAAAGTTGTAATTCGTTAATCCCAGATAGAAGAATACATCAAATATAAACTTAAAAGAAATGTTTATTGTGTCCCTGATGTGATCATCCATGCATGCTTCAGGTTTGAGAATCCAACTTCAGAACTTTCACTTTATAGGGTGCCGAGCTTTGGACATGATCAGTTAAGGGAGCTGGAGGAAACTCGAGTACATTGGTCATGGCACCTAAAAATGATTCTGATTCATATGTTGCCGACGAGGTCAGGAGATATATCTTGTCTATATCTATATCTTATTTTTATACAATTAATTTTACTCATTTTTTGAGATCAATCAGCTTATCATTTATCCACGTGTAAAGACAACGGAGAGTTAAAAAAAATTTTTTGTTCAAAATGAGAAGTCAGAAAGGACAAATATGAAAGAGAAAGATTGACAGAGGATAAAAATGAAAGGCAAAATTGCTGGAGATCACCATTATTTTTATATCATTACTTAAGAAATCATCATAGTTCTAATATCACTTATTAAATTAAAAGATTTTAATCTAATTATATCAGTAAAAGTAAAATCAAATAATCAATCACATAAAAGATAATAATTTAATGTGATTTGGTCTAACTGACACTTTTTTATATTTTTTTCTTTTATCTAACCCTGTAAAGACTTCACATATTTATAATTATATAAATTTACTTATTAAGAATCTCTATCCTCTTAAAATTTTCTTCTACAAGTTAAATTTACCTATTAAGAATCTCCTCTCTCTTAAAATTATATTTACAAATTTTCTTCTCCAGTAAGTAATATTTAATAAATTTCAAACAAATCTCTTATGGGATTTGAGTCATTATTCTTAACAATCTCCACATTGACTTAAATTTCATCAATTATCTATCTTCATGGCTGGACATACTTGGCTCCATTTGCAATGGAAGTCTCACAATAATCTTTTCTTATATGCTTTTACACTTCATGCAAATCGATCTTCAAAACAAGAACTTGAACTTCTTTCTTGAATTGAGCTCCTCTAGACTTGCCTTCTCCCATTGCTCGAACCATCAACTTTTTTCACGTCTCGAACCTTAAGCTCTTATACCATTTGTTGGGGATCACCATAATTCTAATACCACTTGTTAGAAAATTACCACAGCTTTGATATCACTTGTTAGGCCAAAAAATTTTAATCTAATCACACCAACGAAAGCAAAATTAAATAATTAATCAATTACATAAGAGACAACAATTTAACATGTTGGATTCAACTGACCTACATCTATGGATGAGAAATAAGATCCATTAGTTGTAGAGAATTACAGACATACGTCAAAACATATCAACCACTCAACAATCAATACCCGTAGATCCTTTCAATCTCCTCTACACCTATAAAGTATTTTCAACCCAAATAAACATATATTCATATATAATCTTTCAACACAATCAAATACATACTCATATGCATCCATACATCATACCTATATGAACTCTCTTGGTGTCTTTTATTTTACTCACAAACATTCAAATATACAAACACATAAGATGTAAATCTCCAGTACTTTTATGAGGTATCTATCACACAAAAATTTATAACTCTCTTATATATTTTTTTCGTATCTAATCTTGTAAAGACTTCACATATTTATAATTATACAAACTTGACTATTAAAAATCTATTTTCTTTTAAAAAAATTTTTTATAAGATAAACCTGTCTATTGAGAATTTTATTTTTTTTATAAATTTTGTTATTTATTAAATAATATCTAATAAATTTTAAATAAATTTTTTTATGAGATTTAATTTATTATTTTTAATAAAAGTGATAAGAAAAGTTGGAGATGAAAGAGAGATCGAAGAAAAAACGAAAGTTACTTTACGGTACAAGAAAGTACAAAATGAAATAGACAGGTGGAGAGAGAATAAAAATGAAATTAAGTTATTTTTAAAAGATATAAAAATGCGTTGCAATTTCTCAAGTAAACTTTTGTGCTTGAGTGGTGAGCTTACGGTGGTTTAATGTTGATTTCACAAGCCACATCTTATCTTGTTAGAGGGGGAGAGGCAGTGGCAGCCCATAGTTGTTTTCAAGCCGAGGAGTGTCATCTCTCCAACTTGCCATTGTTGACGCTTTTAAGAATGAAAAGTCATTTATTTGTTTTGTAGTTTGAATTTTTCTTTATCATATGCAGGATTTTTTTTTTTTGGCCTATAAAAATAATTCAATTTTGTTTTTAAATGCACCAAAATGAAAAAAAAAATTCTCTTTATCATCAAAATTGTCAACCCCCTTGTAAAACTATCACAGGCAGTCATGCACACTGTAAACTTATATTTTGAATAGTATTTTGACTAAAATAATAAAAAATATATGAACTTTATCATTTTATTTAAATAAATTTTTATTTTTTTATTATATTTAAATTGATTTTTAATTTTTAATTTATATTCAAATAAACTTTTAACATTTAATTTGTATCTAAATAATCTTCTAACTTTTAATTTGTAATTAAATAACCTCTAATTTTTCATTTGAAATAAAAATTTATCTGGACATAAATAAAAAAAATAAGAGTTTATTTTAACACAAAAAAATTATAAAGACTTATTTTAAATGATTTTAAGTATCTTAAACTAATTTAAAAAAAAGTGATTATAGTTTCTCAAATAACAAATTATAAATGTTGAAATTTAATTTCAAAAATTATAAAATAATATATTTTAATATAATTATATGAATCAATTAATTTAAATCTTATAAGAACTAATATGTTGAATAGTATTTTTTTAGAACAATAAAATTCAAGATTGTTAGATTTTCACTTGAAAAAAAATTCAAAAAAAATGACAACTAAATTTTGGTCACAAAATTGATCAAATTGAAATTCATGTACATTATAGTTAAATATTCCTTTCAAGGAATCAAATTTCTTGAATTACCGAAAAGCAGCACTTATTTTTGTCATTAAAAAAATGTCACACGCAAAATGGAATGAAAGGGATGTAATTGCAAATTGGCAATAAAAGACAGAAAGTTGTCAATTTTTCCTTTAAAAAAAAGAAAGAAAAGAACTCGATTGTTTTTGCTCCCTAATAAAAAAAACATGTAAGAAAATAGCTTCATGGCTTTTCAGGATTGGGCGCTGCCATCGGAATTACACACCAATAATTAAATGAGAGCCAAGAATCTACACGAATTCAAACTCCTTTTTTGTTTTTTTGCATTTTCCAACCCAAAGAAATTTAAAAAAAAAAAAAAAACCTAAAAAACCACGTAAAATAAAATATTAAAAATAGTTTTTTTTAGATGAAAATATTTTTATCCAGCCCAATTGGGTTTTCTTCATGTGGGGACCACACTGAAACACGTGTCGTGATCTTAACGAGTTTGAAATTTCCAATTTCTTCTCATCAAACGTCAAACGATCCAATGGCTTTCTATCCTCTTCTCAAATTTTCTCGAGCTTCTCTGCTTTGACCAGGGGATTGGCGCGTGCGATCTCCTCCCTCCCAACCTTCTTGAAATCGAACGTACATCCGTGATTTTCTGGGTACCTGTGGGACCCGCAAAACGTAATCCCACACTTGCATCTGAATCCGGTCAACCCGATCCGCTTCCTGCAAACCATGCACCGATTCGGTTGTCGCTGCGGCTGCTGTTCAAACGACGGAGCAATCTCGACCGCCGGAATAGGCGATTCTCCATTGACTTCAGGGAGAGTCAAAACAGGAACCTGAGAAACAGATTCGACGACGGTTGACGAAGACGAAGGAGAAGACAGAGAGGATTTGATCGAAGAAGCTTGTTGTTGTTCTTTAAGACGGAAATCTATGTAACATTTAGAGCAAAGATTCAGCGTCGCCGGACTTCCAAAAAAGGCGCAATTATTGACGCAAAGACGGTTCCCTTCCGAAACTTGGCATCTATGCTCCTCCGCCATCTTTTTTTCTTCAAACCTCTCGATCTATCAAATTTCTTGTGAAATTTAATTTACTTGATATCAGATCTGCCAGATCTAAAACACAAATTATAAAAATTAATCAAGCTTTATAAATAACAGAAAAATAAAATAAATTTAAAGAAGATAAAAAGAAGTACCTTCAAAGGAAAAGCTGAAAGGAAAGAAATAAGCAGAGGAAAGGGAGAATATGAACAAAGGAAAGAATTATCAGAGAGAGAGAGTCAGAGGAAAGAATATTAAAGGGGAGGAGGAAGAAACGACGAAAAGGGAAAAAAATTCAATAATTCTAAATTTTTAATTTAATTATTATAATTGGGTTTTTTAAAATTAAATAAAAATAGGAAATATCTGAAGGGACAGGCTGGCGGTAAAAAGCCCAAAATGGAAGTCCAGACGTTTACGTTCGGTTATCGCAATTGCCTGCAAATCAGAAACGGCCACGGAAATTCATGCATAAAGAAACAAAGAGAGAGAATCAAAACGACATCCACGTGCTATTGTTCCTATGTCCTACCTGTTTCATTTAACACTTGGGAGTTTTTGTGCAGTTTATTGGTTGTACTTTTTTTTTTTTTCCTCCTCTGGTAGGTGGGATGTGAGTTAATGAAATTATTAAATTGATTTTTAATTTTTTTAAAACAAACAAAAACTTTTTTTATTTTTTTAACAGAAAACCTTTTTTTTAATTAACAAACAGAGAATGTTGGCTTTGTTATCTTGTTAATTAATGAGGTTAATGCCATCTGGAGGATGGCTGAGCTGGATGGAGTGATTTTGGTCGGATATTGCGTGCCTGAAAGACGCGCGATTTGGGGTGGGAGAAGGAAGGTGGTGCCGTTGGGTGCATGATGTATGGGATTGGTTCAACAGCTAATGGTCGAGCGTCTTGACCATAGTTTAGAGCTTTGCTACGTCAGAGTTGAGCTGCGGTTAGGACCACCACCAAAAGATAAGATCGCTAGTGGAAAGAAAAATAAATAAAATAAAAAGATGGAATTTCTTAATTGATAATTATACAAAATTTGTTTGGTTGTTCCAGTAGGTTCGATTATAATGATTGAATTGGGGTAGCCCATTTTTTTTATTCATAAAACATAGTTAAAATTAAGACTTTTTTATCGTTTAATAAGAATAATTTGAATTAAGAAGGTGAACGAATAAAGAAGGAGATAGAATAATTTAGACTTTTTTTTTTTTAAAAAAATGACATTACTAATAAATGTTATTTAAAGTGACAAGAGAATTTGCTTTTTTTTTTTAAATCGTTCAAACTTTAATTTATTGGAAAATCGTAAGAAGATAATTTTTTATTAATTTAGTATGTTTAATATAAATAAGCATATTTTAATTGATCCAAAAACATGATATGTTAGGTAAAGCTTAGAAACTTTTTACGATTCAAATATTTTACATTAAATTTTTAGTTATGATTAAAAGTGTTTATGAATTTGATTAAATTAAGTTATCGTTAAGTTCATAGTTGATATTATTAATTTATATATTTATTTGAATTTGGTTAAATCTTATATTTCGAACCTTAAATTTTTTTAAAACTCGACACAAGTTAAAAAAAAAAATATCAAATCTATCTATTTAAGTCTAATTTGTATAATAAAAATTTTAAAATTTATTTTTTAAAATAAAATATTAAAATAAAAATTAACATATACATTTATATAATTATAATATTTTAACTATATATATTTATTCAAACAAAATTAGGCCAAATTCGGCTTTAATTATTTTTTCTTAAGCTCATCGTAAAATTTAAATAAATTTAAAAATTATATCAAATCTCGTTTAACGAATTTTATTTTTTATTTAAATCATTTTAAAACTTAAACGAACTTTTAAATTTGTACAAGTAACCTAATCCTTTAACAAGTATAGCTATAACATTATAATTTTTTTTTTTAACTTTGAACTATCAAAAGGTCAAAAGAAAAAGCTTGCTCAAAAGGAGACTTCGTCCATGAAGATATCGTGGATTATTTGCTTTAGGTCTAAAATTAAGTATCATTTTTCAGAAAAAAAGAAACATTAAATCTTAATTTTTTTAATTAAAATGGTACTAATAATTATGTTCTATTAAATTTCAATTATGAACAAAGCATGTCCCATGGCAATGTTGGCCTTTGCCAATTATGGGTATTTATTTATTTATTTATTTAAAGTTAACATAATTTGATTTATTAAGCCAAGGAAATGCATCATCGAAAACAACTTTCACAATAACTAGGTACTTGCTTGGAGAGGCCTTATTGATTTTGAAAATATAAATTAAAAAGATTTTTCACTGTACTTAATAAAAGCAATAAAGGTATGGACTGGTGTTAAATTAATCCATCGAAAAGTTCAATATATTTTTTTTTGAAGAAAACAAAATGTTTGATAAATATTTTTGAAAAAAAATTGTAGTATATAAAAAAAATGAGCAACTCATATTCGTTGAGAAATGTTCAATAGATATATTTTATCTTGAAAATATCGATTTTGAATTTGAAAATTTATACAATAAAAACTATAAGAGGGTTTTTTTTTAATTATAATTTTGAAGATTTTAATTTTTAATTTATTAGATACTATTTTTTTAAATTAATTGTATAAATTAATTAAATTTAATATTAAATTTAAGAGAAATTGTTTATTGTGTAATTTATTAAATTGTTTATTGTCCCAAAATCTTAATCTAGTAGTTAAAAGTGTTCGAGGAAACATCAATAGCTTAGTTTTGAATCAAGCCTCTCTTTTTTTATTATTTGTATTAGAACTTTGTCCTCGTGATAAAATCAAAATATATATATTAGTGTAATTTTTATACTTTTTTAAATTTGTATATAAAAATTAAATCTATAGTTCATTTTAATTAAAATAATATTTTTAAAATTAATAATTTAATCCAATGATCTAAAAAAGTATAGAAGTGACACTAATATAAATGGATCTTTACTCTCTATGTACAGTGGAGGGACTCACTTATGTTAATAAGTGTTACACTATTTTTTACCATTGAATTTGAGTTAAAATAAATATTTTAAATCTTCACCATTTTGGTCTATAGATAAAAAAAGAGTATAACACTTTTATTGATTAAATTGGATCCCTACTTATATAGTTAAAATATATATATATATATATATAAATTATTTGATACAAAAGTTTTTTAATTTCATGAGTATGATTAAAATAATGACACATATATTTTTCTTTAAATATATACTAAATGATATATGTCATAATTTTAATTTTATTTGTAAAGATAAAAAAACTTTACGATTAATATATTTAATAATTTATCTCTCTCGTACGTATGTATATCTAAGAGGTATCAACTTATTTAGTATAATTTTTTTTAGTTTTATATTTTTTAATCATTAATTTTAATAAATTTAAAAATTAAAATTAAAATTTAATCAATTAAAATTAAAAATTAAAATTTTTTTGAGATATTTCAAAATTATATTATATTTTTTTAAACATCTAAAATTTTTACTTTTTAAATTTTAAAATTATATTTTATTATTTTGTTTTACTTTTTAACATTAAAAATTATGAAAATTTAATTTTAATATTAAATACATTAAAAAAAATATTTTTAATTTTGTAAAAATCAATACAAAACAGATAAATTAGGATGAAGAAAGGATTAAACTTTTTACTTTTATAACCTATCAATATTTGACAATCTAAAAAATTTGAAGGATAACATTTGTAATTTTTCATTTTTTCTTAATATATGATTTGTATTTTTTTTTTGTCATTTTGAAATTAAAGCCCGTATACTTAGAATATATTTGCAAACTTGAATAAAATTTATTTGAAAACTTTAATAGGAAGAGAAATTTGGTCATAAATTGAATGCGAACCTTTAAAATTTAAAAGAAAAATTAATTTAAAAAATATTACTAAAAAATAAAATAATAAAAAATTGGATTCCATAAAAAATATTAAAAATTGTATTATATGCACTTAGTTTTACTTCACAGCAAAATTATTACTAATAACTTACTAAGAAAAATAAAAAAATGTACACCAAAATTTGATGACCCTAATTGAAAAAAAAAAAAAAAATCCCGCCAAGCACTTGTCAATTTTGATGATCCCGGCCAAAAGAAGAGACTTGTTACACGGATTTGAATATCTTGAATCTTGAATCTTGAAAAACCAAAACAACAAATTTCAATGTGACGGACAAATGCAAATCCACAACCAACATTAACTTCCTCAACCTTCTTTCCCTCCACTCATCATGGACCAGCAACAGCCTCTGCCTTCCACCACTGACCCACCTCCACCATCACAACCTCAACCAACGCAGCCGCCGCCGCCAATGCAATCGCAAATGGCACAAATTCAAAAACAACCAGCTCCATCCGCACCTTGGACGATACCCTCAACATTCTCCACCCCAAACCCAATCCCAAAAGCCTTACCTTCGCCAACGACACCATCCCAACAACCAACGCATCCGAAACCAATTCTCGCCACTCCTCCGCCCAGACCCACCACCGCCACATTCTCGAATCCCTGGCAACAGCAATCCTCCCAGTTCACCCATTTCTCTTCCTCTTGTCCCTCCGTTTCATCATCGTCCCCTTCGCCGATTCTTTCCTCTCAGCCGAGGGGCAGCATCGCCCTCGGTGTTCCCTCGTCGCATTCTAGCCCTTCTCCTCCATCTCCTTCACCTTCGCAATCCTCTCCGTTTTCAAGTTTCTTTGGCCATTCCATTGGTGGAGCCTCTAGTTCCAATGTTTCCCAGGTAAGGTTTTATGCCTTTTGGTTTCTTTTCAGTTAAAATTTTATGTTCTTGATGTTATTTGTTTTTGTTTTGATTTTCTTGTAATAGGCAAGGCCGCCAATGCAAGGGATGGCGATAGGATCATCAATTGGCTCAAGTTCTCAAATGAAGCCAGGGGGTGTTTCTGCTCAGCATCAGCAAAGGCCTGTGCAATCATCTCTTAGACCACCTTCTTCACCAAATAGCCAGTCCCCTGCCACCCAAGTAAGTGCCTTATTAAAGGATTAATTTATTTTCTTTATTTATTGGCTTTGTAAATTTGTTTACTTTTACTTGTGAAAAAAATGCAATTGATTTATGTATTTCCCGTATTTGCTGCTATGGTTGCAGTAGATGACTAGTTCAGCATATTCCAATAGAATTATAGAATTCTTAACAATGTTTTAGAAGTTTAAGAAATGCCAAAGAAATGTTAGTTGAATTTAGAAATTTATGTATCTCTTTCTCTCTCTCTTAATCTTAATTTGAATATCATATTGGTGGGTTGAAATAAGCTGTTTTAGGGATTTTGTAAAGAGGTTGAAATAAGCTGGTTTAAGGGTTTTGTAAAGAAAGCTAAGGTGTTCTCGTCTACCTTACAACTTGTTAGAGTCATCTTGATTATAAAGGCTGAGTGAATTTGGGTTTCATGCTAACTGTAGTTTCTGATTGATTTATTTCTTTTTTTTTCCCTTTTTTTGTAGAATTTCCAAGGGCATGGCCTTATGGGAGTGTCAGCTGTTGGTTCTTCTGGCTCTTCAACACCAAGTACACCACAAACTATGCAATCCCCTAATCAACCATGGCTAGCATCTGGATCACAAGGGAAGCCTCCTTTGCCACCCCTTTCATATAGACCACAGATTAACTCGCCATCCTTGCAGCAAAGGTCACATATTCCCCAACAACGTCATTCCTTGCCAACAGTTTCACAACAACAGCATGTATCATCCCCACAGTTGCCACAACCTATACCATCGCATCAGCAGCAGGAACATTTCGGACAACAATTTTCGCAATCGAGGGCCCCACAATCTTTGCCCCATCAACAGCAAGTTTCAAGAGTTCAGGGTTCGGCAATTCAAAAGCCTTCTTCTCTTGCAATGGTACAACCAAGCACTGTCCAGCTGGTGAACCAAAATAAAGCAGCTATTACAGAAAGTGACAAGTCTGGTGGTCGGATTCTTAGCAAAAGAAGCATTCATGATCTAGTTAACCAGGTGAACTATTCTAGACCTAGCTTTGTATTTGGATCTTGAGGATTATATTGCAGGATCGAGAGATCTTATTATATGTGAAATAAAGATTATATCTACCAAATCAATATTTTGTGTAAAAAGGTATCTAGCATCTTTGTATAAAAGGAAATTATTAAAATTCACTAATGCTGTGCATTTACTGTATGTAAAAGGCTAATGGTATTGATCAATTTTTCTTTTCTTCTTCACAACTTTGTTGTTTTAACTCGTAATCTCTCTAAATGCCCTTCATCTATTTGGTTTATTGTTCAAGGGAAATTGTGTTATTCCATTTCAACATTTGTATATTAGTAATCTGTCTCTGTTGATGACCAATATAAAGATTCACGATCATTGTTGAGGATTCTAGGGACTTGGAGATGTTCAGCATTTATGTTTTGATGGATATAATTTTCAGAATATAAATTTTTTATACGCATTTAGTGAATGATTATTAGCAGGCTGGCCTTAGCAATTTGTGTTTCCTCTCATCCTGACTGCAATGTATTTTTTTAGTTCTTGTAGAATTCTTATGGAGTTCCATGCTTCTCTATCTCCAAATATGACTTTTTTTTCTTTTAATTTTGTACAGATTGATCCATCTGAGAAGTTGGATCCTGAAGTTGAAGATATTCTTGTGGATATTGCAGAAGACTTTCTGGATAATGTGAGTTGTTTAACTATTCAAAGAATTTATTATACGTACACTTGGGTTTGTGTGGATACCGAAATACATAAGGGCTCTCCAACTATGATTTTCTTATGAATACATTCTTAAATTCTATTTCACCTGGATTAAGGCTGTTTTGCTTTATGTGAAAACAATGTTAGAGTGACTTATGGATTTTATTTTATTTTTCGTTTAACAAAGAAATATGTGAACTGAACCAATATTTTTTATTTTATCCCTTCTGATTTCTTGCACTGAACAGGTTGATCTGCCAATTGACGTTAAACATGGGCATTGATGAATTTTTTAAAACATTTTCAAAAATTTAAGAATAATAAGTTTCATTCTACATCCTAAATAGGGAATTTATATTCTAGGCTTTCTCTCACCAAATATGGTGCTTGGTATGAATAGTGCAATTATGTTGGAAACTCTTATATTTGCCTTGTTCAATTAGGATGTTTTGATTTTTTTTCCCTCTATTGTTGTCTTGGTTTACGTGGGTACTATGCCACTTAATATGATACTTTCTATTTCATTCTATAAACTTTTCGATAGCTTATATGACCATTATCCAATCCTTATTCTTTTGTGTTTTTCAATTTTTTCTTTAACAGATCACAACATTTGGTTGCTCACTGGCTAAGCTTAGAAAATCAGATACGTTGGAAGCAAAAGACATTCTCCTGCATCTAGGTTAGTTATTCTGTAAATTATCCTCTTTGATTTGTTATTCTTCTTTTAACATCTAGTACTTCAACTTTCATTGTTTTATGGCTTGATGCAGAAATAAACTGGAATATGACTCTTCCAGGATTTGGTGGTGATGAGATTAAGACTTACAGAAAACCGGTAAACTATTCTCTTTTATCTATAAGAGGGTGATGCTAGATGCACAGTTTTTTGCAGAGGAAATCTAATTGATGAGATTTATGACTTTTCATGATTGTGGTTTTGTTTATTTTGCAGCTCACAAATGAGGTTCACAATGAGCGGCTTGCAGTGGTAAGTTCTGTATATTTCCATGTCATAGCATATGAACTAATTCAGATGCATTTATGTTTGTATTTTTACATATATGAGTGTGTAAAGAGAGAAACAACATGTTAAGCTATGTATAAGCTTGCATTTTCTATTCAAGAGGAGATTGTGGCTTTCTAGTGAGCTTTCTTGTTATAAATTTACATATCTGGTGTGTGTTTCTCTTTGGCAGATAAAGAAATCAATCTTAGCGACTGAGGCAGCCAATGCTAAGCACTCGATGGGACAAGCTGCTGTAAATGCAAAGGGTAACCTTGAAAAAGCAGCATCCAATAACTTGGGTTCTCCAAATGTTAAAACATGAGAAGTAAAATGAGGATCCTTTCTTGACAATATTGAATGTCAGAAAACATTTTCCTTTGAAGGTATGCCAACTATCATGCAGGTCCAGGTAATGTCCATATACTCAGCTATCAGAATTTAATTGAACGTTAGAATGGTGCTTGACTTAGGCCTCTAATGGTTCTTAGCTATGGTAAAACCATGGATAAAACTGTTAAATTGTTGAGAATGTTATTTATTGCTAAATACCATTTCAGCAATTCAAAAAAGTTTCTTCCATGTGCTCCTGTATAGTTTATATGTTATAGGTTTGTTTTAGATCACGTGTTACATATCAAGAGGAGCCACTATTGTCTTGCTCTGTGAGAAAGGTTGGATTTGAAATCCCTGTCATGTTTTATGAAAAGAGATGAACCTGGCATGCAGTGTCATGACTTTTTACTCATGAGCATGGACTGATTGCTGTGCATTGTTCAAAACTTTTTTGTAAGAATTTCGTTTTTTTAATGTCCATGTTCTCTCATTTTATGCAGGATGAATTGGCTGAGGACCAAAATTTTGTACTCTGACTAAGATGCACATAAATTCATTTTTGAAGATTCTATTGGCACATTTCTAATGCCACCTTGGAGCCATGTCGAGAATTTTAAAAATTTTTCAAGTCGGTGCTCCCTGGTACTGTATTCGTCACTAACTTCCATTATCACTGCGTCCTGTGAAAGGATTCATGCAATTACATTTTGCCAATGATTTTACCTCTGATTCTATTCCACAACTATATTAGTGGACCATTGGGTTATTGACAGCTGTATGCAAGCTTTCCGTAACTGCGAAAGGTGAAATCCACAGTAAAAATTAGGCGGCCATGCCTGTGGATGCATGTGATCTCCAAATCTTTTCTCTCGGGTTATCACTTTCTTTTTTCTTTGGTTACCAATTTCGTTGAAACCAGCATTGTTAACCAAACAAAGATAGTGCTCGTCCCGTCTCATTATAATCGTTCATCTTTTAGCAACTTCCAATTTCAAAAGCTAAACAGTCAAGCAATTGATCCAGTCCATTTGTTTTGCAAATGTGAACCCGTCATCTTTAAAGCCACCAGTGATTTCAACACAACGAAACTGACCTCTTCGTCTATTATACAACTGCTGGGCTCTAGCTTTGCCAAGGTCAAGCCTTAGCATTCAGGATTCATAATCAAGTTGCAGTCTCAAATCAAAGTTAATCAAAGCTTTAGAGTCAACTTATTTCCATCCATTTATCCCAAACGAACCCAACTGCAATACAAAGAAAGCAAGGTCAAAAGCAGTGACAAAACCCCATTTAAGAACTTCAATACAATCTTTTTTTGCAAATATCTTCATAGCAGATCCATTACTCAATTAGAGACGTCTTAGCTGAAAACCAATACTATTTATTCAAACATTTATTGAAAGAACAAATTTTTCCCAATCTTATTTAGTACATATTCTCCATGATATTCTTAAAGAATCCAGAATAAATGATATATTTTAAAATTAAGAGAGGAAGATGAAGCGATTTAATTTTCAAAATTGCAACTAAAAGTTTCTTGGTAGATTTCAAAATTAGTTGGATAAATGCTAGAATTAACTCTGTAAGAAGCATGAATGTAATTTCAATTGAGGAATATCAACTACAAGAACGAATTTCAAGAATTATATGTGATGAGAGGTGTATCAGACTATGTGAAATTTGTTTTGATCCTTTCATGTGAGAGAATTTAATCAATGAATTTGATGTTTCCCATGGCCTTGTCATCAAGATTACTCCTTTCAAGAACAGGTAGAAATTAATTATTAGAAATTTAGAATCCTGCTTTTTGCTCAATTCAGATATTTTGTATTCTGGCCCAAAACATATTTAAAAAAAAAGTTAGTGTATACCTTCCTTATCTTGGCCAGGAAAAATGTCATATTGGGAGGGCAAGTGATTGTTATAATTTGGTTTTTCAGAAATTCTTGAGAAAACTAATTTTTTAAAAAATGGAACAGAAACAAAGGAAAGGAAAGGATCGGGGAGAGAAAAGGGGGAAGGGAAAAGAAAGAGGGAGAGGGTAAAGGAAGGCGCCAATTTGGATCGTTTCCGCCAGATCCTCTTCCATGCTTCACCGCCCCTTGAAGTTAAAATCTGAAAATAGTATAGTATAGAAGATAGCTTCTCTCAATGATTTTACAAGGGTTTGCCCTTTGATCAGAACATAATATAATTAAAGTAATATATAAATCTTCCTTATTGAACCAGTTTGCAATACGAATTGAAACATGTACACAAGGAATTGGAAGAAATGGTTTTAAAGCAAGATCTTAAACACTGCAGGTCTAGAATCAGAGAACAGAAACACAAGTTCCCAGACAAGATCAATCCCAAATAAGCAAAGAGATGAAACAAACCATTGGCAATCCTTCCCAATTCAGAGAAAAGTCTTGGTCATGGACCTCGATCTTCTGGTTTTGCTTGTGTCTTGTACGCGTGTTCTTTCTCTTCTTTTTCCAGATTTAATTTTTTTTTTAAAAATCAATATTTAGAAATTTTTTTTAGCATTTTCCCTTTTTTAAAAAATATTAAATATAATAAAATTCTCTTAATCCTAAATGAAACAATCAAATGACACAACATTTTTATCGACATGATTTTATTGGGTATTTATATCACATTAATAAATTAATTAATTGTGTTAGATCAAAATATCAAATTAATTAACAAAACAAAATTTTAATTATTTAATTACGAATTTTAATTTTTTAAATATCTAATCGATAGAAATTATATTTGGCTAAATTTGTATTCAACCCTTTTTTATGGTTTTGGTAGTAATCATTCATTATTAATAGTATTTTCATTAATTTTTTTTAATTTTGATTTGATGCTTAAATTTTTTTATATTTAAAATTATTAAAATTAAAATTTTAACACGTACCATTAAAATTAAAATTCGGATTGAATTAGAATTTTCTTTTGATTACAATACAAAAGCAATATTCTAATAAAATTAGACCATAGGACACTTACAAGATAAATCTATCCCACAAAAAGGGTCATCTTCAATCAGAAGGATTCTCTAGCTTTTCATTTTCTCAAAAGTTTATAACTTAATGGTTTTGAATTCCTTTTCATAAAACCAGGTCACTTCATTGTTGATTTCCCTTTAAACTTGCAAACTCCACTACGTGGAAAGCGAAGAAACAGGCAATCGTTTAGCATTTTTTTTTAAAGTATTTTATTTTATTAAAATGTGATATTGAGTTATTCAATTAATGAAAGATAATATTTTTTTTATCTCATAAATTTTAATCCGTTTATCTTAATAATTGAATTCAATAAATTTTCAAAATAAAACTTAAAATTTAAAGGTTAAGATGTTTTCTTAAAAAAATTTAATATTTTAACATATGTTAAATTTTATAAAATATATATATTGCATGTCACAACTTATTTAATTGTTATATTAATTAATTAATTTTTTAATATACTTTAATGAGATATATGATAATTTTTTAATCTAATTTGTATAATTTAAAATTTTGTGTAAAATAATAATCCAATTATTATTGATCAGTATTATTGTCCTACATAAACTCTGTAATAAAATCACGAGCAGTGACGTAGGAAAATATAAAATTCATTAAGGAAGGATATCCAATTCCTCTAGAATTCAACTTTTCTTAGTTTGTGTTCTTGTTGATTTGGGATTTTTTTTATTTGGTCATGGTGAATGAAAACCTTAAGACCACTTTATAAAGTGTTAGATTCTTGGCTATTTTTCAAATATCTTTCAAGCTTAAGCATTTTACAAAATTTTCTTATCATGGACACTCAAAACTTGTTTTTCTCTTTGCTATTTTTCTTTCTTCTTTCTTTTTTCTCAGGTAACAGAGAAAACAAATTATTCTTTTCTTTCTGATTATACGGCTATGTTGTTTTGATCACAGCAAGAGCTTTTAAATTTTTTTTTATTGCGTAAATAAATTGTAGGTTTTCACCAAGTTGTTGAAGGTTCAAGAGTGTCGTCTCACTTTGCTTTCAGACACAAGAAGCTGTTTGTGTTTGGAGATTCCTATGCTGATACAGGGAACAACAAAGATTGGGCCAATTCCTGGAAAGTTCCTTACGGAATTACATTTCCTGGGAAACCAGCTGGCCGATTCTCTGATGGTCTTGTGTTGAGTGATTTCATTGGTACACTTGTCTCTCTTTCTCATCAATAATATTGTGTTTTTCTTTTTCAGTTTAGCTTTAACTCTTTTTTTTTTGCAAATAATGGGCTTCCTTTACCTCTTTAATATAATATAAATAATTTAAGGACAAATGTTTTGAGGTTTAAGAATATTATTTTTTAATAGTGATTGTATGATTTTATGAACTAAATTTTGGATAATTGTTATAATTTATAATATGTTAGTGACACCAACAATTTTTTATCAATCAATTTCTTGTTATCTCTGGAATTTACTAATAATAACCTTTATCAATAAATTTTTTATTATAAAAAAAATAAGTTAATTTCCTTGTTATTATTGACAAGCAGCCGGGTATTTGGAACTGAAGACACCAATAGCATACGAATGGAGTAAAAAACTGGATCATCGCCTGAAGTACGGGGTGAACTTTGCTTATGGAGGGACAGGTGTTTTTGACACCTTGGCTCCGGAGCCAAATATGACCACCCAGATCGGTTTCTTGCAACAGCTTCTCGATGACTCGGTCTTCCTAAAATGGGGCTTGAAAACTTCTGTGGCACTTGTCAGCGTTGCAGGCAATGATTATTCGAATTACATCACCACGAATGGCTCTGCTGCGGTAAAAGAGGAACTTGAATCACATTAAAGAAAAAGAAAATCACAAAATTGTTCTTGATTAATGATCATTGTGAAAATAAATGAAATAGTAGGTTTGAAATGAGGAACTTGCTGACAGCTTCTGTACTTATCCTGACAGGGTTTTCCAGCCTTCATTTCAAGCGTTGTGAGTCAACTTACGGAAAACTTGAAGCGCATCCATGACTTGGGAGTGAGAAAAATAGCCGTGACTGCCCTGCCACCATTGGGGTGCCTCCCTCGAAGCACTGCCCAATTCTCCTTTCAACAGTGTAACGAAACTGAAAACATCCTTGTTAATCTCCACAACCAGCTACTGGTTCAAGCTGTGAACAATTTGAACGAACAAACCAACAGCAACTCTTTCGTTGTTCTTGATATTTATAATGCCTTTTGGACAGTTTTCAATCAGACACAAGCTCATCAAGGTGATAATATACATAAACTCTTCACTCTTGACTCTTTTTAGTGCTTTTTGCTTTTGTTTTTGGCTAACTTTTCATCATGTAATTCGTTTGCAGTAAGTGCAGCATTCGAGAATCCTTTTCAGCCATGTTGTGTTGGAGTTGACGCTGGATCTTCATGTGCAAGTGTAGATGAACATGGGGAAAAGAAGTACACAGTTTGCTCAAATCCCAAAACAAAATTCTTTTGGGATACAGTTCACCCTACACAGGAAGGATGGCTGGCTATATATTCAACTCCAGATCTTCAAAACAGCCTCAAGCAACTCTGGTAGAAATTACCATCAAATATAGTAGTTTATTATGTAGGATACAGCATTTTTTTTTAATTGTCGCCATTGCTTAATGCATATAGTTAGAATTTAATAGTTTTCAGTCGATTCCTTTTCTCCTTTTTGGTATATCAGAACTATTTTGCCTCAGTTTCCCATAGTAAAAGATTGTCAGTTTTATCTAAACCATCGGCACCCGAATTTTATTTTTTTTTAATGAAAGCAATATTAGACAATGAAGGGCATGTCATGATGTGACCAACACTATGCATCATTGTGCAAGAATGTATAGGATAGAAAATCAACCAGAAATTTTCAACATCTCAATCACAGACTCGCACATGTGTTTTTCTGCAAGAGGGTTAAAAGCTTGCAGCATATGTTACACTACATTTGCAACCAATGCAAACTATTTCGCAGCCCTGTTCCCAGTTCCCTATGGAGTAGTAAAAAGGTTCACATCTCCCATCTAAATCTGGCTTAACAAAAAAAGAACAACAAACAGGACAGTAAATCTCTGTCCTTGTATCCTATCTCTAAAAAGGCAAAAAGTAAAGCCTTAGAAAAATGCCTCTAGCCTTGAAAATTGACTTAGAGATGTGCATGCAACCATAATCTTGGCCTTCTTTGCTTTTAAGTTTGTATTCATGCATGAGCCAACAAGTTTTTATTTAGGGTTATTTAAACTTGAACTCAAATCTTACAACATGCTTAGACCCTTAAATTTTAATAATGGTTCACTTGGTACAACTCTTAGTAATAAAGATTATTTGTCAATGTTCAAAGCTTTTCTCAAACATAAAATTTAAGTTCCAAAAAAATATGATTCAAATTTTAAAACTTCAAATTCTTCATTACCACTTAAATTTTCTCGTAATAGATATCCTAAATTTGAGTTTTATAATGTTTTCGTTCTATCAAATTTAAGGTTAGAATTTTTTTCTCCATCGCCCTTAAATTTCAAAATTAAAGTATTAGTGTTGGATTCTTAATTTATTATTGGAGTGATGATAGCTTCAAATAAAAAATATATATTATTAAATGATTTTAAGATATTCAAGATCAGGTCGCCTTCACTAATGCATCCATTATGCTAGAATCCTAAAGATAAACTAATGGTATATTACACTCAGTTGCCAGAAGTCCTATCAGCGATAGAGTCATCCGATGTCGGCTGAGATATAATTGGTGCAAGGCCACCAGGACACCGCCATGCTGAAGGTGTGGAACGGGTGCGTGGCGTTGTTGGACACAGGAATGCGGAAGGGGTCTGAGGAGCTCTTGGAGAAAGGTTGACAAACTCTAATGCTTGTTGTCTCAGCTGTACAGGATAGTCAGCAACGCACCCAATCCTTGGCCCAGCCCCAGTTGACCATTTGAGTGACAGCTGATGTCCTAATTGGTATGATTTTGTAGCCTTCTTGGAGTTGATCCTTTGCAATATGGCTTTTTCAGGCACTTCAGCTCTTGGGCTCTGAAGACCACCAGATAAAGTCCTTTCGAAATTATTTTTGGTCTCTGTTTCATTAGTTTCAGATGATTCTGATGACAAATTCTTCTCTTCATTGTCAATTTCAAGTTCAGTTGGCTGTGAGCTTGTTGAAAATTCAACTGTTGTCCCAACACTCCTGGATTTGCCATCATCATAGCTATCAGAATCATCAGTCGCCCGGCATATCTGAACACGAGATAGATGTCAGTAGTCATATCTATTTTGGAATAGAAGAAGGAAATGGAATGGTCCATTTGACTGAAAATGGAACCGATGGTTCAAGGATAACAACCAGCAAGTATAAGAAATAACCAAGCAGACAGTATACTTGTTAAATCTTGCAGTTTTTGTCAGAGTGCTGAACAACTGCCATTTTAGGGAACATATGTATAAAGCAATCATCACTTCCCTTGATGAACATCAAAATTTCGGTTTGAAAATTGCTGAAGAAAAATGGATAGATTGAAAGGTTACCTCAACTTCACTAAGGTTCACTCCATTCTCCTTCAGAAAGGATAGAAAACTCTCAAGACTATCATCTGTTGGCCGGTAATGTCCACTATATGCAGAGATGGACTGAAAATTGAAGGAAACCAGTTGTCAATGCATCAGCACATTGTATCAGAACTTTAACAAGATTGCCAAACAATAGAAGGAAGAAGACAGTGGCCAGTTAGCTCCTATGATGAATTACTGATATAAATTTTGAAGAACTATCCAGTCATTCAAATGCAACCAACAATAAAGGCAGCAGGTAACATTCCTGGCACATTACCAAATCCTAAATCATTATGAACCAATACCTTAAGGGTTCCATGCTCTGCCATCAGCCTACCAGCTGCTAATGTCACTCCTCCAGCCAAGAAGCTAGAATGATGAAACATTCCTTTCTTCTTCTGCAAGGTACAAAAGACATTTTAGGTTTTTGGATGTTATGAAACAGTGAATCAGTTGCTGTTCTGAGTCAGATGCTTACCTCGCCGGCATACAATTTCTTGGAGGTGCTCATAACAAATATGCATTTCCCCTCTTTCAATCCTTTGATTGTATCAAGCACATTTCCGGTTTGTTTATGGATAATCTTTCCTTCAACAACAATGTACTCATAATGCTCCCTCTCTTGCTGTTTCCCCACCAAAAGACAAAACACACACACATCAGGATTTTACAACAACTGGAATTAACAATTTCAACATCATATTAGAAATTTAAATCTAGAAATCTAACATATTAAGGCACATACAGGTCCAAGATACTTAATGCATTGCTGTTGAAGCTTCGATCTCAGGCATTCTTTCAGATTAATATCTTTGCCATCCCCTATATCTAACCTGTAAAACAACCATAAAAAACTCCATAAGCAATTTACTGCTTTTAACTCCTTCACTGGGAAAATTTTAGTTAATAGCAATTGGAATTCATGTTGGGGCTTACCAGTAGAAAAATGGTTGACCAGCATCAGCTTTACACCACTCCTCGTAATAAATATGCAAGTTATGCCCATAGCGATGACGCGGATCAATCTACAGTAAAAAATTTAGATTCAATCAAAAAAATTATCTAAAAAATTTAAAATTCATGTGAAAGGCCTAAGGACTGGGGAGAGTAAATTACAGCTTCAATCCAGTGTTGAAAAGCCAATTTTTGTGCTTTGGCGTCTTCAGATAATCCCTTCCCAATCTGGCAAAATTCCAAATTTGATCATTTTTGGCAAAAAAAAAGGAAAAAACAAGAAAAAATCAAGAATCGCCGTCAAACCCAACTTTTAAAATAAAAAAATAATAATAACAAAAAGTTCTTTTTTTTTTAAATACCTTAGAAGCATTTAAACTAACACGATTCCACCTTGAAACAGCAGTTTCTGGTTTCAAATAATTGAAAAACGAAATTGTGCTATGATTAAGCCTTGCATAATCTAAAACCAGCCACCTGAAAAAAAAAATTACTATCACTCAAGAAATATAAAATTTTAAATAATGTAAAAAGGCAAAAAAAAAAAAAAAGACAGAGATTTTATGAACTTACCAGAGTTCTTCAGCGACAACAGCGGAGTCTGCTAACCTACGCCGTGTCCGGTAACTCCTGTACACCTTCTGAACCTTAACAGCCGCGTTCGACCGACCACAAGGCCCACCAGACGAGTGATTCGAACCCAAGGAATCTCGACCATCGATCAACGACCCCACCGGCATTTGAAATCCACCACCATTATTCCCCGACGGAGAATCTGATTCCCTTGCTTCTTTGGGACTATTCATAGAGAAAAAATGGGACGGCTCGGAGCCCCCAGGGAACCCTGTGTTTGGAAGGTCCGAGGTGGAAATGTTACAGAACGGAGACTTTGACTGGAGACAGAAATTTGAAAGAGCTGTTTGAGTTTCAATTACTTCCATTGTGTTTATTTTCTATTCTACTAGACTTTGTCAAAAATAGTTTAAACCAAACAAAGCCTTAAGATATTCAGCAAATTTTCCAGAGAAAGAAAAACGAAAATAAAAATCTTCGATCGCTGGTTTTGAGAGAAAGAGAGAGCAAAGGATATAAATAGCGGAGCTGAAGACATGGAAATCCCCGGGTAACCTACCTTCCATTTTTTGTATCCCATTCATACGTAGTGAAGTGCGTGACTCACGCGCTAAGGTTGAGAGTGAGTTTTGCTGTAACTCACTTGCTGTAGAGACAGGAAACTAGGAAAGGGAAAATCCGTGCATCACATGGTTAAATTTTTTACATTTGATTTTGGATTTAGAAATGATCGAAATTTTCAAGGCTCTTTCGGGTTCTTTTTCCTGGAAGGAGGAAGACCAGAAAAGAGTAAAGAACATGCAAGGTGAAAAAAGAACAAAGATTTTGATTGCGTCGGCACCACCATTGAGATTTTTCACCACTTTGTTCTAGATTTTTTTTTTGTTTTCCATCTGAAGAGAATCATTTGAATTATTGGAATATCAAAAGTGTTTTAATTTGAATTCTACTTTGTAAGTTGTAATTTTACTATGAGTTTTTCCATTGAACACTTTTGGATTCATGGGATTGATTATTTTTTGGTTATACAATCTATCATTAAACTTGTCAAAAGATTGGGATACTTTGTCTAAAGGTTTGTTTCATATTTGAAAGGTTTTAGAAAAAAAATATTAAATGAATTTGAATACAAATAAAAGATACATTTAAAAAAAATAAATTGCTACACTCTTAACTTTTAAAATTCAGGTTTGGTTGATAATTATGATATATATTTTAGTTTTTATATTAAATGTTATATAATTTATATCATAAAAATTATCAAATAAATTATCAGATAATTTTTTAATTTTACAAGTAAAATTAAAATATAATATATATTTCTTAAGATAAATTAAAAAAAAAACCTAATTAAAAAATTATATATTAATCTTATTGATAAAATTAAAAAACTATATTGACAATATTTTACAATTTATAAATCTTACCATTGTTTTTCTTTCTTTTTTTTTTTAATTTACTTTTAAACTTCTTACTCTATTAGTTACTTAATTGAAAAAAATATTATGCGCATAAACTTATTTAAATTTGTAATTTTTAAATATTAATGTTAATAATATATCAATTAATCTAAAAGATAGTTGGCACCATTATTTTTCTCTAAAGTATCTATATTTTCTACCTTCATATTATATATCACTGACTTATATAACATAAATCCCACATTGAACAAATTTTAACATACCGTCATCTTTGACTATCAAGTAGTACTCCTTTCATCTAAAATAGAAAATCTGTGTTTTCTTTTTCAATAAATACCAACAAATTAATAACAAGTGGAAATTTCATTTTATTAACTATATTTAAATTAATAATAACTTTTGATCATTATTTACTAATTTTTTTTAATATAACTTTTTTTTAGTTAAAATTGTTAAAATGTAATCATATCACTGAAATTAAAAATTTAATTTCCATTAAAAATATAATTTTATTTGATTTTAGTTATTTATTAATTTGTAAAAAAATATATAAAAACAATAATTTAACAAATACAAATTTCCAAGCAAATAACAACAAACTATATTACTTTATATATATTTAAAATTAATGATGATTTAACTTTAAGACATGATTTTATTGTTTACCACATGATAATAGCAGGTCAAAGAAATTGAATTCCAATGTATTCAGTGTTGAATAAGTTTAGAATAGCTTGTGCATCTGTCTAATTTAGAAAAAGCTGAGCTGACCAACGTGCACATTTGAACCTTTGGAAATTGATTTAAATTCAGTTTGATTGATATTTTATTATTTATTTTTTGCTTTTTTATAAAAAGAAAAATACATAAAATAAATAATAAATAACAAAAAATCAACTAAACCAAAATTTAATATATTCTCAAACTATAACACCAATGACCAACCTTACCTAGGAAAGGCCAAACCACCGACCTTAATAATTATGGAATAAATTCATCCAACAGCAATAATAATATTATTCAATTTTTACATATTTATATGGACCGTTTAATTTTTTTCTTTTTAAAAAAGAAAAGTGAACGTAAATTACACGAAATGTTTTATTTAAGCATGACTCCACAGCTACAATTGTTCAATTCAAACATCTTTATTTAGTGTTTATTGTGTTTTCTTATGTGCATAATGCACTAAATTCAACTTTCCCAATCACGACAAGTAAAATTATTTCAATAATTTTTTTTTTTTACACTTAGAGAGATATTGTATAAATATAGGTGTGTAATTATTTTTTGAAAGCATGTAAAATTATGCATGTTATTTGTGTAAACTATGTTAATTTATAAAAATTAAAGAGAAATATATACATGCTAATTAAATATAATTATTTTTTAATATAAATTTGATTCTTATGAGAAATGATTCAAAAAATTTTGAATATATAAAATCAATGTAAAAATTTATTCTTAAAAAAGCTTAAAAAATTAAACAAAAATTTAAAAAATTCGTAGGTATCTTATATAATAACACTTTTAAAATTATAACAAATTACAATTATATAGACTTAAATATATGTATATATTTGCTAACGTTTGTTAATTTGAGTGATAAAAAATTTAATTCTCTTTAAATAAAATTTTGATTTTAAATTTTATAAATAAAAAATTTATTTAAAAAAATATATTTTCAAATGAAATTTAATATGATTTAATTCGATTTTAAATTAATTAAAATTTAAAATAATTATTAAATATAAAAAAATCTCAGATAAAAAAAACGTTTATCGAGCAAAAATAATTTATTTGTCAAAACTTTTTTTATTTAAACAATAAAATTGAATCTTAAATTTACAATTTTTCATTAAATTGGTGGATCTCAAGTATTTTTTGTGGTCGGCTTGACTGCTTTAATGTGACGTGCCAAGTCAGCACTACAACTAGAAGCACTTGAAACAGACGAGCGTGAAGGAGTGGAACAAAATGGCAATTACGTGGGAGCTTCTGCCTCCCATTCGCGTCTCTCTCACGCGCGGATATGACAACAGCTGTTTTTTTTTTTTTTAAGTGTCAGCGACACTGGATTTGGCATTGAAACGACTAAGAAACATTGATTAAGAATAATTAATTTATTAATTACGATTAAGAAAGACTTTCGCTTCTGAGACAGACTCAGTCCACCTTTTCCTCTGGTTGGAGTTCCCTTTTTTGTTTTTTTTTGGCCTTTTGGTCACGCTGTCGTACCACGTTATATGGTTTGGCCATTAATTAACCTTGGGTGAGCTTTTATTACATATGTGCCATTGACCGTGGACTTTCATAAGATGCTACAAAAGACCAATTAAAATTCTTGTCATTATCTTAACAACTAGAAGTAAAGATTAAAGAAATACAAAACAACCTAATTTTCCTTATCATCATCGTCATTGATCTGTCAATTTCTTAAAAAATAAATTGGATTAGCTGTTTATTTAGATTTTAATTACTAATTGATATCATGTGCAATTTTTTTAATTTAATGTAAAAAAATATTTTAATTAATTTAATATTAAGTTTGAATTCTCTTGCACTTCTAACAATGCCACGACATTGTTTAAATAAAAAAATTATATTTATGTGTCTTTTGATTTGACCATCAACAGGACTTTTCATTTAATGCGAAGTGAGTGGGAAGGAAGGAACCCATTACTTAAATATATATAATTGATGTATTGTTTTACGGTGATATATATAATTTAATGATTTTGATTAGAACAAAAAGTTTTGAAGTGTATTTTTTTTATACTATGTTTATATTAATCTTAATTAACAGAAATTTCTGCTTATATATCTGATGTTGAAAATGACAAAAGTTTCCTATTAAACCCTTCCTAATTATTAAGGGTCAATTTTTTTTTTTTTTGGTGTTCATATTTTTAATCTTTGTCTCCTGACTATGGTCATCACTTGTTTTGGATGTTTGCAGTGCTCCTTTCATTTCAATGTATAATTGGAAAAAAATATTTGTTTTATTTATTTTGCTTTATTTTTTGAGCCTCTTTGGTTTATTTCCTTTTTTTTAAATATAATTATTGAATAAAAAAATGCTTGGGATTATGAGAAAAGAGAAAGATTAGTAGAGCAAAGATGCCATATCTGATGCTCAAGAAAATAAAATAAAAATTAGTCACTTCAAATTCAAGCTGGCATTAGAACTTTTTTAAAACTTATGTTTCGAAGAAACCCTCAAATAATTGTCACGTGAGAACAAACTATAATAAAAAATTAATCAGTTCTGTTGACTTAGTTTACAACTTTTTGACATGGTTGGTGCATAATATTATATTAAAATATAATAAAATAATATTATAAATTAAATTAAATTAAATTATTTTATTTTATTTTATATTTGATTTTAAAAAAATCAACAAATAATAATTTTATTTATTAATTAAATTTACTTTTTTAAGTTATATAATTAAATTATTAATTTAATTTTTAAAAGTATAATAAAAAAGTATAAATTTAATCTTATAAATTAAAAATAATTATGCTTATTTAAAAAAATTAAATCAACTTATATAAAAAAATAATTAAACTTCTTTATGATCCAATATCTACTTTAAAATGCAAGCTAAATATAAAATAAAACAATTATTATGTTGTTTTATTTATTATTTTATGTAAAAATATTACTACATCATTAATATATAATTACCTAATAAAATTTAATTTTTCAAAGAATCGACGTTTCTACTCACAAACACAACCTTTATAAAAAGTTTTTTTTTTTTGTCTTTTTGGCTTTTTTTGTTTTTGTCATATCTATTTGTTTCATTGAGAGCTTCTTTACACAAATTGAAATTTTAGGGTTGCATAACTGGGTTTCCTTTTTTTTTATTTTTTATCAATACCAAATTTCACTTTAATTAATTATTTTCGCTAAAAAATATATATTTCCACGTGCGAGAGGACAAGATAGAAGTAGGAGAAGGATCCGATCGACCGTACAAGTTGAATCACAGTATATATATGATTACTGATTCTAATACTTTACCTGCTAAGCAACGCTTCCAGCACATAATTTTGTCTGTTATGTACTTTCCTTTTTTCAATATACATATAAACGTTAGGTTCAGTTTAATTGAATGATATAATTATTTTTAAATAGTATTAATAAATTTAAATTTTAAATTTTAATATTTATAGTTTTTTATATACAAATTTATGAATATAAAGTTAGATTATACATACAGCATATGACAATTTTGTCTCTTCCTTTTAAAAAAAAAAAATTTTCTTTTCCAATGAATAGAAATTAGGGATAATTGCAAAGCAAATTGTGCTATTTTAAATGCTTATTTCATTAATAATTTCATGATTTATTGATAAAATATTAAAATTTTAATTTTAATAATCAAACCTAAAAATTTAAATTTTGATAATCACAGTTAAAAAAAAAGCAGCTTATTTTTCATGGATACGTAAGCAATCTCATCTGGTACTTATAACTGTTATGCATTCGTTTTATGAGACAATTTCTTTCTTTAACAAAATTAAGTTCACTTTTGAGAAAAAATGGAAATTTTAATTATATATATATATATATAATATGAGTGATGACATCAGAAAGAGGCTCTTATAAGTTATAATAATCATATAAAATGGTAATAGTATATCAAAAATATGTACATGAAATGATGGGCAGTTTTTTTTTGGGGTACACTATTGTATAATGAAAGTGACAAAGGGGAAGAAGACATCAAGAAAGCACAACGAGGAAGGCAAATGGGGAGCTTGGGAATGGCTATTGGCTAATGGCGCCTGGCCCATGCAATTACGTGTTTCCATTTCCTTTGGTGGTATAGATGGAAGAGGATAGTCCATAAGATTGATGGATTTTCCCACAAAAGTTGGGTGAAAAGGTTAAAAACAGGAGTGCTTTTGGCATGCAAATGTCCCACGTTTCTATCAGAAAAAATTGTTTGGAAGCAAAAGCTAGAATAGTAATCTCTGCCATTAACAGACCTCTAACAAAAACCTGCCACTGACATGGAACTTTCTATATATACATATATAGAAATGGTCTTTAACAAAACTATTGGCTTTCTCATCTGTTTGCATTGCATATGTGATTGTTTTGTGATGTTATTTTTGAAAATAAAAGAAAAAAATGGTTTTTTATTAATTTAAAAAATTTATGTTAAAAAAAAAAGTATGTTAAAAGCGTAATAAAAGATTATATTAAGAGATGTGGTATCCTACCACTGAAGGCTTGCATGAGTTGCGGGCTGCAAAAAGCTATGTTTTCCAAATGGGCTTGGCTTAATCTAATATTGGCTGACAGGCTGAGTCATCATCTCGGCCCAGGTGGAGCTGGTTCCTGAAACTCACACAGATTTGTCAACTGGACCCAAACAATGTTTTCAGCATTAGTAAAAGACAAAAAAATTATCCTCATTTTTTACAACCTATAAAATCCAAAATTGCAAGAAAATCACTTTCTTCATGGAGAAAAAAAAGCTATGCATTTAAAGAAAAAATCATTTTGATTAGGTTATGTTTTTGGCAGTATAAATTATCTAATATTGGGCTAAGGGCTTAAAACCCAAGCCATTTTCATTTGAGCTCTCAATTGCTCCAATTAAAACCCTAGTTTTGCATATAACATATAAGGCTGTCCATGGCTTTGTCATTTCCCATTTGCATCCAGGGCTTCGTCAATCACCGCTGTATATCAATAGCCCACCTGGTCAGTCTATTTCCCTCTTTTCTTCTATTTCACCTCTTTGTTTACAGTTGTTTTCTCTTTTGGGTTTTTGAAACTCTTGTTTTTGTTGTTTATCTCAGTTTACAGGAAAATAAGAGAGATAGAATGAAGGTTATTGCTGCATATTTGTTGGCTGTATTGGGAGGCAACACCTCTCCTTCAGCTGATGATCTTAAGCACATTCTTGGCTGTGGTACACTTTTCCACACTTTACCCTTTGCTTTTCTCTTCATTTCATATCAAATTTTACTGCTTTATTTCCTTTATCTGTACCAATATCTACGCTGGGTGATGCATTAGTTTGTAAATTGTAAATCATGGTTTCATGCCTTCTATATTGAACATTTGGTCCTAGCTATGATCTAAAGTTTACTTTTGATGTTACTGAGGTGGCTTTCTATGATGAATAAACTTGTATTAATTTGTATTTTGGTTTGGGGTTTACATAAATATTAGAAACCTTAATGCAAAATATGTTTTATATTGTGTGAATTGCTTGTTTATGTGATTCTTTTTGGCCAGCAAGTACAGTTGGAGGAAGAAATGTTTATTTTGTTTCAAATAATTTACATAAATATGTTTTTTTTTTCTGCCATAAATTTTAATTGTTGTTTATATGTTGGAGTAAGACATGTTGACTTTGTTTCGAATAATTGTGTACAGTTGGAGCTGAAGCTGAAGATGAAAGAATTCAGCTTCTTTTATCTGAGGTGAAGGGCAAAGATATAACTGAGCTTATTGCATCCGGGAGGGAAAAGCTTGCCTCTGTCCCTTCTGCTGGTGGTGGTGGTGTTGCTGTTACAGTTGCTGCAGCAGGAGCTGGTGCTGCTGCAGCTGAGACTAAGAAGGAAGAGAAAGTTGAGGAGAAAGAGGAATCCGACGATGTAATAACTCCAAACCTCAATTATTTTGCACATGTTATTGTCATGTTTATGCAATTTTAGCATCGTGCATTTAGTAGTCGTATGACAGATATATTTCATCTAATCCGATTTATTCGATTTGTTTCAGGATATGGGCTTCAGTCTCTTTGATTAAAGTGTTGATTGGTTTGTGCAGAAATTTTCTTTCCAATTTAACACCGGCTTATACTTAAAAATTTTGTTATCCACTGTTACGTGGCATTTTTTTTGGCTTCATAGTTTTGGTGGACTAGACATTTGTTTTGCTGAAACCTATTGTTGCAATGGAATTTTGAGAATTCATTATGATGATATTCTTGAATCTCATGTCCAATGATGATGAAGATTGAACAGAATTAGATTGATTATCGTTTATATAATTGTGCAATTTTTGAAAGAATTAGAGGGTTTGTTTGATATATGATAAAATAAAATAATATTATAAATAAAATTAAATTTAATAATGATATTTTATTTTATATTTAATGTATATAAAAATTAAGATAAGATTATTTATTAGATAAAATAATTCATGTTTACAGTTTATATAATTTAAATTATTAATATAATTTTTAAAAATATAATAAAACATGTAAATTTAATTTTCATACAAATCAAAAATATTATAAAATTATTTTATCCTATTCATCGAGAATAAAGCCAGCGAAAGCACCCACGATATAGAGATAACAAGCAGAGTTTTATTATTCATCATTCTAAGGAAAACAAGAAATAACTAAGATGAACAAAGCAAACCTCAAATTTTACGAAGTCAATACAAAAAGCACTAACAGCAAAACCCAATGAAAAACATATCCAAGTCTTCATTGAAATAGTCATCTTGCAATAAGTATACAAACAGCTGTTAGTCTTCAAATCTTACAGGCAAAGGAAAGACCTTCACTTGTGAGGGCGTCCAAATTCTCAACTGAAGGCTGAAGCTTAGCAACTTTAGCAATAGCCTGGTTTTCTTCGGCAGTGCCACCCTCTAGGAATGCTCCAACCACCTTCCCGTCTTTGATCCAGTAAGATCCGAACTTTGGCTTTGGTGATTGGGGGTTGTTGTCTCCAAAAAGCACTGTATCGCCAACATTGTCACCGTAAAACTGCCATGCTAGATCAAAGGAACGAGAATAGAAGTATGGTAGGTAATCATATTCATCAACTGATTTCCCCGCCTCACTTGCCATGATAGCCTACAAAAAAGATGTCACATTGGTTTAACAGTTATATAATGGGAAGAGTCAAAACTGTATCTGTCTTAAAAGGTTGCAAAGGTAGATATTCTTCTGTCGGAAAGAAACCTTTAGCCAATAACTGAGTATCAAGATCAGGTCATAAATATAAAAATAGATGAACTAGGCGAGGTAACAGACCTTTACTGCCTGTTCGGCTGATTTCCGGGCATGGTCAACATGTTCAACCCTTCTAATGTCATTGTATAACTTCATAGGGAAAGTAGCTACATCACCCACAGCATAGACATTGGGAACACTTGTTTTGAAAAAAGCATCAGTCTGCGATCAAACAAATTGTATTATACAATCACATGCAGATCTTTATTAGAATTATGCTAAATGAATAGTAGTCAGAACTAATCCTGTTAGTTTATAGGTACTAAAATGAGCATTGTACAAAAACACTTTCTATTACCGCAAGATTTATGCAATATCAACATAATACTTAAGGTGATCAATCATATAATAAAGTGCAATAGGAATTTCAAGCTGACATTTAAAGATGAAAAGGCATTTGACATCATGTCACTGATCAAACCAACCTTTATTCCACCCTTCTCCTCTTCAACCTGCCCTTTAAATAATGTTATAAGAGGCCTTCCACCAACACCAACAACAACAATGTCAGCTTCCAGCACTCTTCCGTCCTTAAGTTTAACTTCCTTCACCTGAACAGTGGGCAAAAGTATCACCAATAAAATGATTTTAGTCACATAAAAGAAGATTAAAGCATAAAGCCCTCTGAAAGATAGCTGCTTACCTCTCCATTTGAGTCAGAGGTGAATCCAACAGCAACTGTTCCCTTTATAATTTTGATCCCTTTATTAGCATAATAACCCTCATAGAAAGCAGCAATGCCAGAGGTGAAAAGACGGGGCACTACAAGAACAATTTTCTTGTTAGAAAAACCCAACAGTAATTTTCTTATTTACATTGTCTCTTCCATCCTGAGACTGTATTTTAACAGTATATAGAAAGCCCAGCAGGTCTCTACTTACTGCACCATGGTTCAGGGTACACCATGCTGACATCAAAATTGTTAATTTTCATAGCTGCACCAAGCTCAAGACCAATATAACCTCCTCCAACGATAACAGCCTTCCCATTCTTTTTTGCTTTGATAGCTTCTACCAACATATCAGCATCATCAATTTCTCTTAAGTAGAAGATGTTTTTGGCATCAGCTCCTTGCACTCCAAAATCTGTCAACCTTATAACCTACAAGAATAATGTGTTCAACTATGCATGGCAAGCAAGACAAGGAATGTTTTATGTTCAGATCCCTAGAAACAGTAACTCACAGTGGAACCAGTTGCAATGATCAAAATTTGATACTTGAACATTTCTCCAGCTGCGCTTACTAAAGTCTTGGCAGGAAGATCTGCTTTCACTATTTCTGTTCTAAGTATCAATTCAATCCCTGCAAGGATCAGAACAAGAAAAGTCTATGAATGAGGCTATTCCAAGATTATAAGTCACAGTTATTTAATAAACAATAAATATTAGCTTCAATTCCCTTTTAGCAGATCCATTTTCTATTATTTCTGCAATTCTCAAATTTCACATTAAACAAATCCAAGCAGACATATATTGTGAACCTTTTTCCTTGTACCACTCAAGAAGCAATCTCTCTCCGCCACTTCCAACACAAACATGGAAACCGGGAAGTCTTGCAGCTCCTGCAAAAAACAAATCATCATATTGATTCAGGAAACAAACCAATCAGATGGCCAATTGCATTTATAGGTGTTAGGAACTTATTTCAAATTTGCAAACAGGTACATAAAACACTTATTAGGCTCACCCTGAGGGAAAAGATATCCCTTACTCAGAGCAGGCCGTTCATATGGAGCCACCTACATGTATAAGAAAGCAAAAATCAGGTAATATATGATACAAATTTATCACTTGAGGGGATCGATAAATGACAATAGAACAGTTACAATGAGTGCTGTAATGTAAATGCCACTGTTGCTGGCCTCCATTACATTAGAATTAAGCTTTGACAACATCAGATTGTAAGAAGAGTATCCAGAGGGAAAAGTCCCCATGAAGACAGCAGAATGAGAGATTTTGAAAAGCTAACCAGTGTGCTGAGTGTGAAATTATGTGATAGAATCTTTTTCTTTTTCTAAGCACAATTGACAATTAAAACAAAACAATTATACATGATGAGAATAGAAATAATACATATAGCAATCTAAAATGTAAAATGCAAGAAAAGTAGATGCATGCTGCATGATAGAACAACAAAATTCTTTCGCATGCAATGATAAAAACAAGTTTCATTAAATATGGTAAAATTCATACCGCCTCCTTGGAAATAATTGCCAGCTCACCAGGCTGCACCCCCAGCTTGGCAAACTCCCTGGCTGCATATCCCTATAAAGTCAGAAGAGGAAATTATCAGGAAAAGGAAGCAAACCAAACAGTCATTTTGCAACTCAGACGACACTCTACACAATTAAAACAGCAATATATTCATTACATTATGTAACAAATCGGAAACATGCTTGGTTGCTTCAATATAAATCCAATTTCAAAAACACAAAAAATTCAGTTACACAAATTTTAACATAAAACTATGACAAACACAAAAGTTTCAGGAAACTTAATTCAACAACTATAAAAGGATCTAAATCAGTTAGTCATCCCTCTTTTACAGTGACTAAATGAATAGCAACTAATCTAACTCTTCAATTTTGGTTTTAATTCTTTTTCATTTTTTTCCTCAACATTTTAGCAGTAAATACAAAATTTTTCTTTAATATTTTTTTCCTTGTCATTTTCTAAGCAACGCTAGATCCGTATGCCTTTAATAAATTAAACGATAAATGATTACAATTGAAGACAAAAATTTCAAAATTAAAAAAAAAAAGAGCACCGATGAACATCCTAAACTCAAACAAGTTCAAGAGAATGATAAAAATTGGAATCGATGAGCGAGAAATGATCGATGGAACTTACAGCAGCGACACCACCGCCAAGAATCACGTACTTGAAATTCTTCACCGCCATCGATGATCAAAGCTTCGCTTTGCTCTGCTCGTTCTTCTGCTCTGTGGCTTTTCTTTCTTCCCTTTTTCTTCAGTATAGGATTGGGATTGAATTTGGCCAGACAAATTTATAGGAGGCTACGGCCCCTTATTGGCTGCCGTTTGTTATTATTTTGTATTATTACACCTTATCATCTATTTTATCAATATTTAAATTTGATTTTACACGTAATTTCAAGACATACATATTATTTATTTATGCAATTATATCATTATTTATAAAATATAAAAAAATTTATTAACTTGTTTTTATTTAAAATTTTTATTCTCATCAATTTCAAAAATACTAATTTTCTAAAAATAATCTGAAAAAAAAAATTTCAGCAAATGACAGCGAAAATTATAAGTTTCGTTTTAAATTACTTCATTTTTTAACAAATTTTCTATTTTTTTCAAAATAAATTTTTTTCCTTTTTCTCTTATTAAAATATGAACCGTCAAGTATGTACAGAATCTTATTTTAGAAAATAATGAATTTTTTTTCAGTCTTCCTTTGAACGTAGACATTTTTTATATTCATGTCAATAAACATTAAAATTTGAGATTTCTTTCCAAATAAATAACCTTTTAAGTGGGTTAAGGACTTTTCTTTCGGAAGGACGGTTGAAGTTGACGTCATTGATGATGTGGCAAGGGATCTTCATGACTTCGTCTAATGTTCACACAGTCAATGATCCCGTGCGACCGGTACCATGATTTTCTCATCACATCAGCCTAAAGATCAACGTTAGAAAAAGGTAAAGACAAACGTGGTTTGACAAATGCTCCACAACCACGAAGCGAGTCAAACCAAGGTGCATGATTCGGAAGTGGCGGGCTGCGATGGACTTGGAGTTGGTCATGGGTTTAAGCCCAAATTTAAAAACAATTAAACATTTTCATTTTTTGGGATCCAACGGTCTAAGCTTTAACCTGATTAAGAACACCAAGCACCAATGGTAGAGTTTTCACTTAAATTTAACAATATTCATATTTAATGGAGAAGAAGGGTTTAATTTTGTAATTGTTTAAGAATTTTTGTTGGAATATATGTGAAGAGATTCAAGGGAATTATTCAAATTTATACCTTTTTTACCCACCCCCTCTGCTTAAATTTGATATATAATAATACTTTTAAAA